ACACCGGACATTACAGGGTATTCGCTTGACTTATGTCCATTGCACATAACATATTGTTTCCTATGACATAAATAAGATCTGAAAAATAGCAACAATGCATCTGAAAGACCAAATCTAGATAACTTGTTGAGTAGAATTTCATGGTCTAAACTATCAAACGCTTTAGAGAAATCAGTATATATTACATCCGTTGTCTATCGATTGATTCACAAACATACTGAGTAAGATGTAGCAAGTTAGTAACTGTGGACCTGCCCTTCATGAAACCGTGTTGACTGACGGAGACAGACCTGCTTACATGAAAATATAGCACAGTTTGTATCACTATTTCGAATGTTTTAGCGAAATTACTGATAATTGTGATAGCCCGATAGTTTTATACATAATTCCTCTCACCTTTTTTAAAAACAGGAGTTACCCTAGACAACTTCCAAATAGACGGAAAGTGATTATTTTTCAGAGAGAGATTGAAAATGATCATGAGTGGATATGCTAAAATGGACGCACAATCTCTCACAAAAAATGCAGGTATTTGATCAGGCCCTGCAGTCATTTTTGGCTTAATTTTCTTGAGCGCCTGTAGAACATCGATTTCCTGTACACTAGGCATAGCTAGTGTAGTAGTGAAATGGTAGTCAGTAGAAAAATTAGATTGAGCTGTTGGAGTTTTATAGCTTCCACTAAAGTGTTCCGCAAATGAGCCAACAACATCATTAGGTGTATTCAATCCCAGCCCATTGTACAGCATATCCTTCGGAATACCAGTGCAGGTTCTTTTTCTATTAACAAAAGACCAGAATTTGCCGGAGCTGTTCTATATTTCACACTCTAAAGAGTGAATGTAGCGACGATATGAAACAGCTACATGTTGCTTTATTTCTGAGCGAAGTCTTATAAATTTTTCTATATAATAAGTATCACCAGTGCGTCTGAAAGTCTTGAATGCCACCATTTTGTGTTTGAGGGTTCTAATGATATGGCTGTTGTACCAACGAAGATACCTACCTATTATTATAAGATATTCTAACTTTAGGAACACAACAATCAAGAATTCTATAGATCTCAGAATAGAAATATTCACAAGCTAAATCAACATTACTAAATTTTTTCAAATCGCCTCAGCTAATATTCACAATCATTTCATAGAGCAGCTGAAAGTCAGCTTTCCTAAAATTATATGAACCTTTAAAGTCGCTATGCAACACGTTATTATGTTTGGTGGAAGGAAAATGACTCACAGTGACAATCAATGCAGGATGATGGGGATCCCCACACACTAACGCATCATCAGCATGTTCAACATAGCAAATGGCATTGCTCCAAATTAAGTCTAGCAAATTTCCACTGTCATTGTGTATGTAATTATGACATTGAAAAATCTTGCTAAAACATTTAAAGTGTTTATGTAACTATTTGAGATACTATTTTCAAGATAATCAGCATATGATGTTATATTAAAGTCCCCAACAATGAAAATACTGCCAGTATGTAAAAACGCTAGACTATGTATCGCTTCCAACAAGATTTCATAGTCGGTAACGGTTACCTGAGGAGGTATGTACAGATTAATCACATATATTTTGAAGTAATGGACACTGACTTTAATTACTAAAATATCTATCTTTGGACTGACCTGGTTGAAAGGTGGGTACACATATATATCAATGGCAGATGACTTATATTCACTCCTAACAGCAACAGCCACTCCTCCACCTTTCCTCAAATTCACTGCTGAAAACTTATCAGATCTGTAAACTGAATAATTATCCGGAAAAACCTCACAATCATTGATATCAGTATCAAGCCACGTTTCTGTCAGTGTTATCAAAGAGTAATCGTCTTGTTGAGAAATAGAGTTGAATATTTCATTAGTTTTAGAACGCAAACCACGAGTGTTTTGATAATAAATAATAAATTCTTTATCTCTATCAGCATCATGATCATGACTGTCTAGGCCTGAAGCAGTAGCTAGTTGCTATTTGACAGCGAGTAAGTGTTCGGCAAATAAGACACGATTTGTGGCAGTCAGAAGACTGGTCCTTCCACCATAATAATGCACCTACGCACACAGCCATCTCTGCTCGACAGCTTCTGGGTAAAAATGGCATGGTGCCGCTGCCTCACGCACCTTATTCGCCTGATCTGGCTCCGTGCGACTTTTTCTTATTTCCATGGATGAAAAAAGGCATAAAAGGACGCCACTCTGACGACATTGAACACAGTATTAGTTGTAGTGGGCAGTATTTTGAAAGAGATAAGGTGAAAAAGTTGAAAATAAATAGCTTTTAACAAATAATTCCGTTTTTTTTTTGAAGCCCCTCGTATGCGTAAGGTATAAAAAAGTGAAAATTATAAAATATTTAAAAATATTAAAGCACAAAAAAATAGTACATTCACAAATCATTAAGATGGACGCATAGAAAAGTATTGAAACTTGACATTAATAAAAGTATAAGTCCTGATGATATTTTAATATTCAAAAACAAAATATATATCTGAAGAAGCTCCATGTATATCATAAGTATAACTAGAATATATAGAAAATAGCTTTATGAGAGCAACATAGCTGTAAGAGATTCTCATAGATGACGCCGTGGTATCTAATTTCATTTCGGATAGTTCTTTGGACGCTGGAGTACAGTATTAGGTTGGATATCTTCCAGTAGAATATGTTAATCAATAGTATAAGTCAAGGATTATTGATATAAGTACATATAATAATGACCCTACCAAAATTAATGATTATTTTATGTCTGTTTGTAGCTATAAACCTGTTGATTCACTAGTTTGCGAAAACTATTTCAAAAATAAATTAAGCTCTGAATATATTTTTTCATTGAATAAGATTAGTTCAAATGACGTATTACAGGCAATAGGGAGCCTAAAATCTGATGCGAAGGGAATTGATGGTATATCCCTGTCAATGATCCAGCTTTGCCTGCCAGTTATTCTCCATCACATCGTCCACATCTTTAACGACTGTTTGGAGAAAGCTCTAATTATTCCAATTCCTAAAAAAATGAAACCCACTGAGTATAATGATCTCAGACCTATCAGTTTATTACCAATTTTATCCAAAATTTTAGAAAAAATTATAAAGTTCCATTTAACCGCTTACCTAGAAAATTTCTTTATACTTCCCGACACTCAGTCCGGATTTAGAAAAAATTATAACATATAAACATCTGCCCTACTTAATCTGCAAGACAATATTTTAAGTGCCTTAGATAAGAAAATGGCACTAGCCTTAATCTCTATAGACTATTCGAAAGCCTTTGACAGCATCAATCATAAATTATTACTTGCGAAATTAAATTATATAATAAATTGTATCCCTTTCATTTTTCGACAGTTACCTTCATCAAAGAACTCAGTGTGTTTTTCTCAATCAAGAAATGTCTCAAGTGACAATAATTCCCTCAGGCGTACCTCAGGGCTCTGTATTGGGACCGCTTCTGTTCCTCATATATACGTTCGACTTAAGCAAAAGTATTGATAATTCTCATGTCCAGTCATTTGCAGACGATACGCAATTGTTTCATTATTTTAACGCAGATAATGGCAATAATACTACACAAATTTTACAAAACGATGTAAATAAATTAATTAAATACTCTTTAGATCACAATCTACGTATTAATCCACAAAAATCTAAAATGTTATTATTTTGCGCACAAAGAAAAACATACAATGTAACACAGCTCTTGAACATTCAGATAAATAACCAAATCTTGCAATTTTCTGATTCTGCAAAAATTCTTGGTGTTATTTTTGATACAAAATTAAGGTTTATTGAACATGTTAAAAGTCTATCTCAGAAAACCTACCTACGGCTGCGCACTCTTATAGCAAACAGGTATTTACTAAATTTTAAGATGCGTAAAAAACTATGTGAAGCATTGGTCATATCTATACTAAATTATTGTAATATCGTATACTATACTTGTTTAGACAATTTCACTAAAAACGTTATTCAAGTTATTCAAAACAATTGTATACGATTCATTTTTGGCTTACGTAAATTTGATCATGTATCGGCGAAATATCCCATTCTACACTGGTTAAAAATTAATGACATGGTCAAGTATCACTATTCAGTTTTTGTTCACAAATTGCTGCTCAGTCTAAACCTTATTACTTGAAGGAAAAAATTTCACTGTAGAACTCTCAGAGAAAATAATATTAGAATACCACTGCATACGTCTACACTTTTTAAACGCAGTTTTTCTTACAATTTTGCTATTATTTATAATGTCCTTCCTAAAGTATATAAAGAATTTTCATTACCTGTCTTTCGACAAAAAGTTAAAACATTATTACTCAACCCTCCAAACATATAATTTACGTAATCATTCATTTCTTTTTTATTCCATCTTTAATTCAGATTAATAATTTTTTGGTGCATTTGGGTTTGGAAAGTATGCCTTTTTCTCTTTTTTTTTAAATTTTACTTTCGATGTAATGAACCAAATCTGTTTGTGGATAGTGTATTCTTTTGAACATCTGCTAGAGACTATATAACTTCGCCATATAAGTCTGACATTTGGCTATTGTACAATGTAATTGTGGATAAATAAAGACGTCTCTTATTATTATTATTATTATTATTATTATTATTATATTATAGAGATGACCCTACTTTGTCTGATAAGGCGGTTACTATGATCACAACGTTTGGATAACGAATAGCGATGACGCTGTGGTTTGAGATCGTTGAGCTGCAGCTTACATTAGCGTCCTATCGCTAAAAATGCAACCATGATAAAGAGATGTTTACAAATGTAGAGACTTGAATTGTTCCGAGTAATGTAGAGTTTCTGGCTAAATATTCAATCACTCTAAAATAGTCTATGCTGCCTCAATTGGAGCAGATGTAGATGGTTCCATAGGGACAAAGGTTACAGAAAACCTTCCACCTGATAGCATGATGCTAAAAGCGCGTTCGTATAGCGTGTCACGAGATTCCATGTATGGCTTAAAAGAAACATTTCATAAATTTACGACACTTTATGTCTGTTGCTTTATATTTATACAAACACTATTTTCTAATACATGATACTGTTGAATATGTTACAAAACATCATTGTAATATAAAAATTGTACTTATAATGAATGAGTCGTTCCTGTATCATGAAGAGTATCATACCATATAGTATTGAGGGTCTCCCAACTTGGTCTTATGGGAGAAAGTATTTCTGGAAAGAAAAAGTAAGTCGGGTAATGCTTGGTTTTCAAGATACAGTGTCTGAAACTTTTTTGATTATTTGTTTTTCATAACAATAACCATTTTGCCGATCAATTTTCCACGCAGCCCTGTCATCGGCTAAGCACAAGTTAGCCAGTTTAAAAAAAGCTAGCTACAAACAACAAAAAAATAAATGGATAAAGTCAGCTAAACGGGCCCATGCAACTAGTCCATATTTCAAACAAACAAACAAATAAACGGCATTAAGTTTTTCTAAGTAAGGCCAAAATTTGTAGTCAGTAAGTAAGTTTCATTGAATTAAATATTTAAAATACACATGACAACAGCGCGTCGGTCATCATCACTCTTATCGAACCGGCAATCGATCGCAAACGGTAACAGTAGTTAGTATGTTGTTTTGTTTTTGTTCGCGTACGTCGTCGTTTTGATTTACAATGTTCTCGAATCAAGAGTTCGCCGACATGTTAGTTTACGGTGAAGCTCGTCAGAATTCAAATCTTGCAGCTCAAATTTATCGCGACAGATTCCGCCAACGGGTACACCCAGACAGAAGGACATTTGTGCAAGTGTACCAAAGACTTCGAGATACAGGAAGTGTTCAGCCCACTAATATTCGCACTCGTAAAAGACAGGTCACTGTAGAGCAGGAGAAAATTTGCTTTATCCCTACCATGTACAACGAGTGCAGGCCTTGTTACCAGAAGACGATCCTCGCAGACTAACATTCTGTCAGTGGTTGTTGCACAAAAACAATGAAAATCCGGATGTTTTTAAAAACATTCTAGCGACGGACGAATGTACTTTTACGCGAGACGGGATATTAAATTTCCATAATACTCACACGTGGGAAAATACTCATACCATTCGTGGAGGTCATTTCCAACAACGTTTTAAAATAAATAATTCTTGACGATCAGGTAATTGGCCCTTTCGAGTTACCCCCAAAGTTGTCAGGAGAAGGATACCTTAGCTTTCTAGCTAATAACCTACCAGAACTTTCGGAACAGACCTTAGAAAACATACCATTACAACGGAGACAGAATTTTGTGGTTTCTTCATGACGGGGCACCACCACGCATTTTTAGAGGCGTCATTCAGTATTTGAATGAACATTATCCAAATCGCTGGATCGGTCGAATTGCTCCTGATCCTCGAAAATGGCCAGCAAGATCTCCTGACCTCAATCCGATCGATTTCTGGTATTGGGGAGAACTTAAAGGGATGTTTTATGGGGTTGGTCCAATAACAACTGAAGCACAACTTCGCGAACAAAATTTTAATGCGGCTGAAATAATAAATGGACAACTTCGAGGACCTAGAGTAAGAAAAAACTGGGTTCGTCGTAATGAAGCTTGTGAGGAAAGTGGAGGACGGCATTTTGAACACCTTCTTTAGATACAAAAAATTGCAGTGTGGGTTTTAAAAAGAAAAACAATGTATGTATCAAAATTGTGTTCCCTATTTATCAGTGGATTTTTTTAATACGTTCAATAAGCTTTCACACACCAGGTGAACCGCTGAGACAGTTAGTGGTAAGTGCGTTTTTTTTTATTGTTTGCATTTTACGAGTACATATGAAATAATACCTAAGAGCCAACAATAACAAACTCCATCTTTATTTACACTGCGTTCCGTCGTAATTTGCATCTGGCATTGCGGCGTTGTCAGATTTTATTTTACTTTAAAAAATGCCGTTTTGACCCCCATGCTATATGAAACTTTTTGCTTATTTTAACCCTCTCTATCACCCATTTAAATAATGACTATCATAACGTTTACACCCTGCATATACGCACCTCAGGAGCAAAATCGTATATGCATTTCCCAATCTCCGCAGAACCTATACATTTATCGTCCTTGGTCTTCATTGCGTCCTTGCAAGCTACCACAGCTGCAACTGCGTCTTCTGCGACTGATGGTGGAGCATTTGCTCTGATGGTCGTCACTGCATTTTCCCAATCATATACGTTTCCTTTTAACTGAAAACAATTTGCTCAAGTGCGTGCGATCAAGAATAGGTATATTTCTGTTGTAAAATCAGTCTTTACAGTTTTTTCTTAAATTCTAGATATCTTGGTCTAATTTATCCTTTGATCAGTTTTTGAAGCCAAACCATAAACAAGTGCATTCAACTCACCAACTTGTACGTCTCCAAAATACACATGACATAACACTGAAAAAAGCAACATTGAGCATACAAAAAACGTTGCAATAAATTGCATTTCAAAGTATACTCACGCCTCCTTTACTAAAATCTCCTGTATGCATTGCATCGACATCCTCTGAAATATAAAAAAATGATTAATCAAATAATTTGCATCAGTCTGGGATCCCATGTATTACGATGTCCAACGATTTAAATTTAATAGTCGGGAGATTCTTCTACAGGGTGCGGCAGAGAGGACGGACGTTTTTGGGATGGGTAGTACTCTCCGCTTCCGTCTACGAGAGAGGTGGGGAGGGTGCCGTTTGACTCGTGAGATCCTAGCATTATTTTACCAGTTGTCGTTATGGAGCCTTGGAGGGTGGAGCACCGCGTTTTCGCCTATGATTGTTTCGTCCGAAATAATGAGTCAGTCATCGTCGTACAGCGTGAGTTTCGTCGCCACTTCAACATTCATCGGAATAGAGCTGTTGCCTCTCGAAACACCCTCTTTCGTAGGGTTGAATCACTTCGCAGTCGTGGTGAACTGATCAACAGAAGACCAAGAGGAGAGCCGCGAACAGTTCGAACTCCTGAAAATGTTGAACGCGTTCGACAGGTCTTTCTTCGCAGTCCGACTCCATCTGCCCGGAAACATGCTGCTGCACTTCGCCTTAGTGATCGTTCGGTAAGGCAAATTTTGCATATGGATTTCCGCTTTCACCCCTACAAATTGGCTATTGTGCAACAGTTACAGCCCGGAGATTATGCACAACGAATGAACTTCGCACGGAAGATGGAAGCACTGATCGATTAAAATGAGAACCTCATTTTGTTTATGAGTGACGAAGCCCACTTTCACCTAAAGAGCATGGTTAACCAGCAGAATTGTCGTTATTGGGCTAATGAAAATCCGCAACAGTTACACGAAAGACCGCTGCACAGCCCAAAAGTAACGAGAGAGCGATGTTGGAGAGACTCTACGCGAACTTCCAAGAACGCCTCCAGCACTGCATCAACGATTTCGGCCACCACATGCCTGATGTGATTTTCCACATTTGACTGTCTCAAATGCTATTTCCTTGTGAACCTGATTCCATCAATAAATTTGTTTTCTAGTAAAAATTAACTATTTTATGATTTTTTTAAAACCGTCCATCCTCTCTGCCGTACCCTGTACTTGTTTGGATCTATGCAGATGGTGAGCTCACACACTCTGCAAACTCCAAGAGACAGTTGGGTTTAAAAGCTAGTTTATTTTAGAGATGATTCACAGCAACGAATTTAGACTAGGTAGAAGAAGCCAGTCAAGAATTTGTTTGTCTTTTAGTTCTGATAGTTTTTAGTGTCTTCCTTCTGACATTCGTCGGAAAATTTCTGATAAAAGGGCTGCGATTAAGCAAGCAAAAAGGTCTTGTCATCCTGATGACATTCATAGAGCGACGAATCTCGTCCATGAAGTGAAAAATTCACTCCATGAATTCCGCAGTGAGCAGTGGACCGACTTTCTGGCGGGGACGCTTGCAATCAAGTATTCCTCTCTGGAAAGTGGCAAAATCGCTCAGAAACGGAAGGCAAGAATAACTACCACATATTCATGGTTCTGGAGGCATATCTTTCAGGACTGAGGATAAAGTGGAGGTTTTCGCTGACGTCATGGAAAGGCAGTTCTCTCCCAATTATGATCTGGACAATGACCTTGACGAGGAACGACAAATTGTGAGATCTGTCAGGAGATACTTCAGAGCGAATGGCGATACCAACATCGGTGCTAACATCGGTGACTCTTTTCAGAAGATTCCTCTCGGCTTTCGGTCTGAGCATAGTACGGAGCTACAGTCAGTTAGACAGGTAGAGCATGTAACCAGGGGTTCACCCGGAACAAAAGTACTGGTATCTTGCTTTTGGATGTATCAAAGGCATTTGACAAGGTGTAGCACAGGGGCCTCTTGTATAAGCTCATCCAAAAGGGTTTTCCATTTCGGCTACTAAGAGCCGGTGTTCCTCAGGGTTCGGTCTTAGGACCAATCCTTTATTCTCTTTATATACATGACGTCCCTTGCCCCAGCAACTGTGAAGTCTATCTCTATGCTGACGACACTGCATTGCTAGCCCAGTCTTGTTCTGGTAACCTGTTTCACGACAGGCTGCAGAGTGCGGTGGATGAAGTATTGGAGTGGGCGGATCGGTGGTTGATCAAAATTAATACTTCGAAAACGCAGGCAATCTGTTGTACTAAAAAATATCGCGGTGCCCCCTCAGAGATGTCGGTGAATGGAACTCGTATACCATGGAAGCAATCTGTCAAGTATCTTGGAGTCATCATTGACAAGGGGTTGACCTGGCAGAAACATACTGATATTTTGAAAACAAAATTCCAAATTACCTTTCGGCAGCTTTATCCTTTGTTGTGCAGAAATTCAAAATTAAGTTTGAACAACAAGATTCGGTTGTATAAAATGGTCATAAGACCCGCAATCACCTACGCATGCGCGGCTTGGTGTTTTCTTGCCAAGACGCACATGCAGAGACTGAAAGTCCTGCAAAATAGAACCGTACGCACAATTACTAACGCCCCTTGGTACGTGTCAAATGAGACTATTCACAGAGATCTTGATATCCCACATCTAAGGGATTACGTAAAACAACAGGCACAGCGGCGTTATAATCAAGCGGAATCGCACAGCAACCCTATGTTGCGTGATTCAGTAGACTACACAGTCGAGCAAGTTCGCAAACATTCCAGGCCGCGCCTCGCACTGTGATCAAAATTAAATTGTAAATTTAGACCAGCCAAAATTATTTTAGTATACAAAACCAATCAAAATAATTTTTTGGAGTTGCAAAATAATTCGAGTAGTCAAAGCAATAATGCTTAAGCTATTTCAAATGATCTACTTCTTTTCTTTGCTCTATTTCTTCCTTCCTTTCTTTCCTTCTTTCCCTTTTCCCCTTAAACATGTTTGGTATCTGGGTAGCCAGACCTGACAGACTAACAGACCGACGAGACTTTAAACTAAGAGCAACGAATAGTAGTAGTAGTTTGTAGTGAGGATCAAGGTACAGTTGTCAATTTTTTTACAGTTCTGTCATGAAATTCGTACTTTTAGTGTTATTTTTTAAAAATGTTTTCATTTGCAGACACTTGTGGTGTCAGACGATTTCAAGACAAGAAGAAACGGAGTATAATACTGATTAAAATCTGTGAATTGTTGTGTAAGATTCATACGGTTCAAAAAGAACAATACTCGCTAGAATTTTTGGAACACGAAATAGGAGAATAAGAGAGATATGGTTATTGCCCTGACACTTAGGCCTGTATCGCTAGTCGTCCCTACAATTGTAGGGCGCCTTTATGGCCTCCTTGATTGTCACAGTTTTCTACTTCTCCGTGTCAGAACTCTATTTTGAGGTTACGTCACAAACATCTATTTGCATCAAATTGTGCTTGCTTTTGAGTTATATCATGTTTTATCAGCCTGAAATTTCCTACAATTTAAAAAGAAAACATATCTTCACAATAGGAGAGCGCTGACGCTGACACGGGACAAGTGTAATCTAGAAATTTTTGAAGGAGAGAAAGAAGTATGACAATCAAGGAGGCCATACACGCCCCCTACAATTGTAGGGACGACTGACGATACGGGCCTTAATTCCAGAAAGATAAAGTGTGAAATTATTATACAGCGTGTTCTTAAATTGAGTCAAAAGATTTCATTTTCTTCGCCATTGTAGATAAACGGTATCAATGGCGATTTAAAAAAATGTGAACCTAACGCAGTAGATTTCTGCACAATTTGCTGAAAAACTTTTTGAATTCGTACGGGAATTAAAAAAGTTCTGAAGGGAGGAAGGAAATTGGTGGTAAAATGTCGATTTGCCTCTAAAACTTCAACCACTGTATACAGTGTGAGTCTTCATAAAGTGCACATAGCAAAATCATGGAAACTACACCTTATTTTATTGACGGAAAAATTATCAAAAAAAATTAAAAACAATAATTGATTTTTTATGAATATTTTAAAATTTTTAGAGTCAGCTGCTAACCCTATTTAAATAAATCGTTACAACTTTTAAACTGAATGTCCTATCATATTGGAATAAATTTTGTAGTGATTGCAAATAATAGGCCGTACCAGTAAAGTGAAAATTTCCACGAAATTAAATGCTATAAATTTAAAATAAAGAGGAATATGCTGAAACTCACTATTTTCTCAATAAAATTGTCCTATTTACCCTACCTTTTTTAAATGTTAAGTTATTCTACATGTTATTAGCTTCCTAATGGTGAAAAATTGCAAGTTTATTACTTAGATACAACTTTTGAAATCAGCCGTTTCAAAAAGCAGTGAACTCAGTTCAACGCCAGAGTAGGAATAAAACAACAGTATTAACCTACATGAATCATTCATTATCTTTAACAAATAAAATCAAATAGACTTGTCTATAGGATAATCATTTTGGCTTAATGCATCAAATATTCAAAATGGCCACCCCGTTGCTGCAAACACATTGTAGCGCGAAGTGAAATTTGATGAGTTGCCCTACGAATCATCTCGGGATCATTTTTGATTTCGTTTGCAACACGCAAAACTCTTTCTTCAAGTTCCGCTTCGCTGTTTATGGAACTGCTGTACACCCTTTGTTTCATTGTCCCCCATAAAAAATAGTCGAGAGGTGTGAGATCTGGGGAACGCGCCGGCCACCCAACAGGTCCTTCTCGACCGATCCAGCGGCCTGGATAATTTTCATTAAGAAAAGACCTGACAATCAGCGAGTAATGGGTAGGACATCCATCCATTTGAAGCATCATTCTTCGACGGGTTTGCAGCGGCACTTCATCCAACAGCAAGGGCAGTTCAGTCCGCAAAAGCTCCAGAAATCTCTCTCCGTTTAATGTCCTCGGGAGTATTATTGGACCAATCAAAAAGTTGTCAATCAGTACGGCCCACACATTTACAGAAAATCTCACTTGAAATGTTGAAGCCCTTTTCAGCCTAGGGTTTTCATCTTTTGGGCACCACTTATGTAAATTGAGACAGTTCACGATGCCGTCTCTCGTGAATTGAGATTCATCTGTCCACAGATTTTTTTTCGGGAATTCAGGATTGTCTCTTGTTTTTATTAAAATCCATGTAGACATAACGCACCTTGGACGCCAATCCACATCTTCATGCAAGTGCTACACCCTTTGATAATGGTATGGATGCAACCCTGCTTTCCTCAAGATGCGCCAAACCGATTTCTGGGATACGCCACGACGTAACGCCAAACGTCTCGTACTAGTAGTCGGGAGAGCAAACAAATCATCCAAAATGGCTTCTTCGATAGCAACATGAATAATAACACCTGGTTCGCGGCGATCTCGAGGCAAACCAAGTCCAGTGTTAGCCAGTCTTCTACGTACTTCGTGGAAGTTACGGGCTGATGGAACAGGGCGTCGATTTGGAAATGCAGCTAGATAAGCTGTGCAAGCAGCTCTAGCACTCCCTCGGTACATTCCATAATAATAATGGATATCGGCAATGTGTGCCGGAGGGAAATCACTTATACGTGGCATCGCGACCAAAAAGCGAAAGCGTGATATGTAGCAAACGAAACTGATAAAGTTGGCAGGAGAAACACAAATAGCTGCCTAACTGCCCAACATTTAATTGTTTTTCAACTGGGCCCGCCTCCCCACTCGTACTTCAGCCCGCGCGACTCTACATTGAATCACCAAAAAAGGTATCTACATGATAAACAATGGTGCCTAGCAAGACGATGCGCATGGACTTTTTTATAAACACTCATAGAAACTGTTACATTTGAGTAATAAACGTGAAATTTTTACTTTTATAAAGCTGATAACATGTAGAATAGCTTACAATTAAAAAAAGGTAGGGTACAAGGGACGATATTTATAGAAAATTTGAAATTATTGTAAAAATGATCAAAATGTTCTTTATTCTAAATGGATGTCATTATTTTTCCTGGAATTCTTCACTTTTCAGGTACGTCCTTTCACCAGCAATCACTACAAAATGTATTCCAATATGATAGGACATTTAGTTCAAAAGTTGTAACGAGTTATTTCAATATGGTTAGAAGCTGCTACTAAAAATTTTAAAATATTCATATATTCGTAAAAAATCAAATTAATGTTTTTTTGATGATTTATCTGTCGATGAAATAGAGTGCAGTTTCTCTGATTTTGATATGTGCACTTTATGAAGACTCACACTGTATATTGAAGTGAATATACTCGTAAAAAGAGATTATAGAGAAATAATGGATCTTGATAATGGACATCATTTCGGTCTGATTGGCAACTCGACTCACACCACAAAGTGGCTCAAAGCTGAGTAAACATCATTTAGATTTTAATAATAACCGTGGGTACAATTAAGAACTCATATTTTGCCGAAAAAATCAATAAAATCGAAGTAAAAGTAAAGTTATGACGTTCCCAATTTGACCAAAATTTTGCTTGTTTCGTTTATTTTCAACCTGAGTGTATCTATAAACCATCTTTAAAAACATTTCTAGCTTTTCAACACAACCTTTACTCGGAGGGTGCGTAAGTAAACTCATGGTTTAATGCATGGTGAACTCAACTCTACCCCGAAGAATTGTGAAATTCCAGACTGTTATGCCAAAAACCATACCTATAGGTATTTTAAATTTGTTTATACAGGTGTTTCTAAGCAGCTTCATGGTGGCTTTCATCTGCTTTTCACTTATCTGTAAAGAAATTCTTAATTCAGTCTAGATTCAGCCTTTTACTTGGAGTGGGTTAATAAATACCCTCTATTATAATATAATAACAATAATAATAACAGCAATAATAATAAATTTATTTATTCAGGAGATTTAAAAAAATGTTGGACATGTCATGACATGCTCACATAAAAATGTGAAGACATAAGTATAAGCTGACATACAAAAACTACATATGCAAGATCAAGCAGAGCCTAAACAATGATAAAATACAAAGTCATGTAAACAGAAAATTAAAAATTTAAGAATTCTTGTAGAGAATAAAATCAGTTTTCTAGAAGAAGCCCTTTTAGATACATCTTAAAGCTATTTTCAGAAAGAACTGATTTTGTAGAACAGGCTAAAGAATTGAAGAGCTTGTAGGGCTACTTTCATAACAAGTTGTGTTGTGCTCAATGGACCTCGAAGAAGTGCTACGTCTGCTACAATAGGTCGTAATTATGCACGTTACAGTTTTTTCGTACATGGTTGGAAATTTCCTCGCGAATATGATACATTTAAAAATAACTACTGGCGGCAAAATAAGTACATTGGAGCTTTCAAAATAAGGTCGACATGTTTCTAAAGATTTTAATCCTTTTCTGTGCAACGAGTACACTCGCAGTCATTGGCAAGTTTCCCATAATATCACGTGGTGTGATATTTGCGAGTAAATAATTGCAAAATAAACATTCAGCAGTCAAGTGATGTACAAGCAACCTTTCAAACGAAGAATAGCATAGGCATCCTTGTTGAGTTTTGGCAAATTTCTGTAATGTTAGTTGTCCGGCTCATGTCACTGTCAAGGCATAAGCCAAGAAATTTTGTGGAGTGGGAAACATTAACAATATCTGAATTTTCTGTAATATCTAATTTTTGGATCTTGCGATAAAGTATTATATTATTGGTTGTGTGATATAGGATAGCAAGTCGTTAATGAATAATATGAAAATTAACGGCCCCAAGATTGACCCTTGAGGTACTCCTAGGATGACATCGTATTCCTCTATATTATAGTTGCTTCAATGTAATTTTCGGTTAGAAAGGTACTACTTGAGCCATAGCAGAATATTGCCACGAAACCTAATTCATGATAGATTTTTTCGAATAATCTCAGGATTTATGAATGACTCGAGCCTTTGGAATATTGATTTTTTTTATAATACTTGACCGATGCGCTACATGTTTGTTTTCTTCATTGCATCAGATTGACTTCACCGAGAAGCATTTTCTGTAAGATGGTTAACTGACCTGTGTAGAGGATTGTATAACATAACTTTGGTTACGGAGCGTATTGATAGACCCCACAGTCACTCAAGGGATGTTATAAGTGAAAAGTGAATACAGGATTGGTCCGAGAACCGAACCCTGAGGGACGCCGGCTCTGAAAGGCCATACTGTCAACAAGTCATTATTAATTTTGATCCGAAATTTCCTACCATCAAGGAAGAATTTCAAAAGTTTTAGGAGCCAACATGGAAAGCCCTTCTGCATTAGCTTATTGAGAAGCCCTTGTGCCACACCTTGTCAAAAGCGTTCGAGACATCCAGAAGCAAGATGCCAGCACTTTCGTTAAAGGTGAAGCCCCTAGTTATTTGCTCCACAAGCCTAACCGAGTGTAACTCCGTGCTATGCTCAGACCGAAATACAAAGTGCACGACAGGAATCACATGGTGATCTGACGAGAAATTCTCGAGGTGACGTAGAATCACCTTTTCAACGACCTTAGACGGAACAGACAGCAGGCTAATGGGACGATAATCCGCCTTTGGAGTCATTATAACCTCCGCAGTCTTCCATGTCGAAGTAAAGTACTGGTTCCTTAGCATGGCATTGATTATTTCCACGAGATATGTCATGGACTTTAGTGATTTCATCTTTCCCCAGGCTATTTGCGCACATTGAGGTATTTGATATGGCCTTGAAGCTCTGCTGGTGTGCAATGCGGAATCTTTTGAGATGCCGCTGAAGCGCTATGCAACTCTTCAGTTGAAGACTCTTCCGAAGAAGAATCCTCTGAGAAAGAATCACTAATCAAGGTCGTTGTTTGGAGAGAACTATCTTTCCATGGCATCACCGATAACCACGACCTTTTCCTCTGTCCTGAAGACTATGCCCCCAGGAACGTGGATGTGAGGGAGTTGTTCTCGCTTTCCGTTTCTGAGTGACTTCGCCACTTTCCAGAGAGGAATACTTGAGTCAAGCATCTCGGCCAGAAAATAGATCCATTGCTCATTATGGAATTCATGAAGAGCATTTCTAACTTCATGAACATGATTCGTCATTCTAAGCTCGCCGAAAAGGTGATTTATTGTCACCTTGAGAATTTTTCGTCAAATCACCATGTGATTCCTGACGTTCAATTCGGTTTTCGGTCCGAGCATAGCACCGAGCTACTGGCAGTCAGGCTGGTTGAACATGTAACCAGAGGGTTCACCCTCAGCATGAGTACTGGCATCTTGCTTTTGGCTGTCTCAAGAGCCTTTGACAAGGTGTGGCACACGGGCCTCCTTTATAAACTAATCCAACAATGTTTTCCTTTTGTGGCTTCTAAAATTACTGAAATCCTTTCTTGAAGGAAGAAAGTTTCAGATCAAAATTAACAATGTTATGTCGACAACCCGGCCAGTACGGGCCGGTGATGCTCAGGGCTCGGTCCTATGACCAATCCTTAATTCGCTTTTTATCCATGATGTCCCTTGCCCCAGCAACTGTCTGCCTCTATGCTGACGACACTGCACATGTCGCCCAGTCATGTACTGGTGATCTGGTTCACGCTGGGTTGCAGAGTGTGGTGGAAGAAGTACTAGAGTGGGCGGAACGGTGGCTGATTAAAATTAATCATTCGAAAACGCAGGATATTTATTGTACCAAAAAAACGTCGCGGCCCCCCAGCAGAGGTCTCTGTAGTACCTCGATGTCACCCTTGATAAAGGTATGACCTGGCAGAAACATACAGCAGCCTTGAAAACAAAATTCCAAATTGCGTTTCGGCAACTATATCCTTTGTTATGTAGATCCTCCAAATTGAGTTTGATAAACAAAGTTCGCCTATATAAAATGATATTAGACCAGCCATTACTTATGCATGTGCGGCTTGGTGTTTTCTTGCCAAGACACATATGCAAAGTCTTCAAGTACTGCAAAATAGAATTCTGCGAACAATTTGCAACGCTCCATGGTATGTCTCAAACGGGACACTACACAGAGACCTTGACATTCCTTACTTGAGGGATTATGTCAAACTTCAGGCGCAGCGACGTTATAGTCAAGCGGAATCGCACAGCAATCCCCTGTTGTGCGACTCAGTGGACTACACCGTGGAGCAAGTTCGTAAACATTCAAGGCCATTGTAATAAAAAATTAGCGCGAACTTTTAGTAAACTGAAAATTACACTCTAACAAAACCGAATCAAAATTTGTTTAGTTCACCTCAAAATTAATCCGTGTACCAAGTCTTCTCTTAAACTAAACACTTCTGTTTTTCTTTGCTCTTCTCCATTTTTCTTCTTTTTCCCTTTCTCTTTTTCCTTGACATTGTCTGGTTTCTGGGCAACCAGTGCTGACAGATTCGACTAACGTACATTAAACAGTGACTAATTGGGAAAGGTCCTACGGACCGCCTAGACAAACAAATGACTAATAGTATCACTCTACGAATGTCATCATCCTTACAACCCTCAAATTTTGGCTCCTACAAATATTTTTTGGGAATGATGACAGAAGCCTTTGAAATGTCAAAGTTACAGCGATTTTAATTGTTCGTTCTTTACTTGTAGCCCCGCCGCCACCATAAACTACAAAGATTTCAAGTTATAGCGATGGAAATGTGTTATTATGCTTTTCTGTGATGTACAGGGTGTCCCAATATTCCGTGGGCATAGAAATACCACGTGTTTTTAGACTAAAAATAAATCGGTTGGACGGATTTTTCCGTTAGAGATCGTCAAAGTTTTTTTTAAAAACACATTTTTTAAGATATTGCAAGAACCGATAGTTCGATTAGAATTTGACTTTTAATAAAAACTCTAAAGGATTTGAGGAGGGCGAAAACTACCCCCACCCCTACAGAACTTTAGGCAACTTTCTCGATGACTTTTTTTATTTAGCAAATATTTTTATGTAGGTATTTCATGTTTTGTCTCCTATAGAAATAGGTCATCTCGAATAGTTTTCGGGAAAAAAATTAGGTGCAACCAGAGGTTGCTGCACATAACAATACGGTTGCAAAAAATGTTAACACTTGATGTAAACTATGCAAGTTGACCTGTTTTTATAGAAAAAAAAATAAAGTAAAAAAGTCGTTGGGAGAGTTGCGAAAAAATTCTATTACATATTTATGTAGGGGTGGGGTGGGGATAGCTTTCACCCTTCTCGAACCCTTTCGGATTTTTTTGGAAAATTCAAATATTATGACGTCTAGCAAAACACATGTGCTCCAAATTTCATTCAAATTGGGCTATGGGCTAATGTCAAAAAAAAAACGTGTTTCAAAAAGAAGACTGTGGCGCCCTGTAACGACAAACGAAGCACTTTTGCATACTTGTATATGTAAAAAATATCTAATCGACTTATTTTGAGTTTAAAAATATGTGGTACCTCTACCTCCACGGAATATTGAGACACCCTGTATATGTCAAGTACCACTAAAGGAACATGACTAATTTGCGATTTTTTTTTTTTTCGTGATTACAATACTTCCTCGCCAATTGGCCTAAGTAGTGAAACAATTCAGAAGATTCTGTTTTTCCATTCCGCGCAATACGTATGTCTAAAGTCAAAAATCAAATATGGGAAAAGTACTTACAGCAGCGTTGGCCAAGTGAGTGACACAGAGGAGACACCACAGCAGAACCCACCGCTTCATCGTCATACTCAAAATGAATGATACTTCCGAAAATTGAAGGTAATATCTGAAACGTTCCTAAATACCCAATTATCCAACGCACCAGTGACTTCTACGTAATTAAATAATTACCGATGCCTTAGAAAAATTATCCAAAAAACACATACAAGCAACGGAAAACAAGGTATTTGCAGAAAATAATACACTATGAGGGAAATACAAATGACAATTTATTAAACATAATAGCACAGTATTAAAATCAATTAAGAGGTTTCAACAGATTTAGTTCAGAACAACAAGCTCTTCTTATTCATTTGATCGTACTTTATTACGTTCACGCGTATCGACGTAGCAATGTCTGAAGCGGATCGGTTTTGTCCAAAATAGTCGACAAATTCTCCGTCGGGGTTCACCAAGTACATTATTATCGTGTGGTCCACCTGAAAAATAAAAAAAATATATATATTTTGAAACATAATTAATTACCAAAATGTTTTGTAGCTTTGCTGCTGATGAACGGTGGTTTATGAAGGAAACACCCGCTCAAAGGAATACGTGTTTATTCTCGAAGATTGTACAAGTGATTGCAAACAAAATAAATGAATATTTTGTGGAAACTATTGTTGATATTGTGGGTACTGCCAATGCTGCACCTGACTATATGAAAATCAGTTTCCAGGGGGAAGTGTTGCATACACTTTCAAAATTTCATAGCGTATCATTGAATTATCTAAGAAAAAAAGTAAACAGTTTAAAATCTAATAACAACTGTGCCGAAATCACTACTAAAAACGTGCTGAAAAACTGTTTCGAAATTTTTTGATATCCTGTATTAAATTAGATCAATTGTTCACTAAGAAGCAGTTATTTTCCTGAAAATTTGAAATGGTCTACAATAACACCAGTTCCCAAAATAAAAATTCTAAAAGATGCAGCGATATGAGACCAGTAAATGTGTTACGAGACATTGAAAAATTATTAGATTTCATAGTGCATGACCAATTAATGTAGTTTATAGAAGAAAACAAAATTTTAGTCGAGGCGCAAGTAGGCTTTCGAAAAAAATATTCCACAGAAAAACGGCTTTCCAGTTGGTAACTGAGAATTGGAGAAGAGCCATAGACTCAGAAGAAGTTGTCATAGCAGTATTTTTGGATTTGAAGAGGGCATTTGAAACGATTGAGAGAGATATTTTGTTACGTAAATTGAAGGCATATGGTATATCAGGAAGTGTTTTAGATTGGTTTAGAAATTATTTATCTAAAAAGATGCAGGTTACAAAAGTTAATGGCACTATTTCATCAAAAATTGAAAATACGTTGGGTGTTCCACAGGGTAGTATCCTGGGACCACTTCTTTTTAATTTATACATAAACGATTTACCTGATATAGTCAAAAAATTCAAAATTCAGATTTTCGTCTATGATTTATATAAGTACTAAAAATATTCAGACTGGTATCTCTTATATAAATGAAGACTTGGAACTTGTCTCAAAATGGTTAGTATCTAACAGACTAAAATTAAATACAAGTAAAACGAAAGCTATGTTAATCGGAAAAAAACAATGTACAAATGTTCAACTGAATATTGATGGTGAAGATATTGAGTTCATAGAAAATTTTAAATACCTGGGGGTTTTTGTTGACTCTCGATTGATTTTTGATATTCATTATGAAAAAGTTATAAATAAGATTAGTAGTAAACTGGAATATTTATTAAGAGTTTCTGGATGTCTGAGTTCATATAGCAGAAAAATTATCTATAATACCATCATTCTTCCAAATTTCTTGTACTGTTTGACTATTCTATATTTAGCAAATAATTCCATTTTTGAAAGACTGCAAATTTTACAAAATAAGTGCATGAGAATAATACCCGATAAAGATAAATATACTACAATTAGACAAATGCTTAGCAAATTAAAATGGCTCAATGATATTCATTTATAAAGTAAAAAATAATATATTTCCATCAAGTCCAGCTAATTTAACATCATCAAATGTCGACCATCATTTACATAATACTAGAAATAAAGATGACTTCCATTTAATGACCAAAAAGTATAACATATGCTACAAATCTGTATTCCATCAAGGGTTGATTGAATATAATAAATTATACACAGAGATAAAAGACCAGAAAATTTTGACAAAATTTAAAGTAAAATTGAGGAATCACTTGTTAAATCTACAATTATAGGTTGCCCACCATTTACATCATACATCATATGGCTTGAATTTGCTAATTCTAAGTTGTTTACAATTATTCTGTTTATGTAGCCAAATGTGCTAAATAAATCTTTCTACTACTACTAAATATGACGTCAAAAACAGGGTACGAAAATATCATGATATTTATATATATATTCCCTTCACTGAAACAAAGCAGTTAACGTCATATTTAGTAAATTTGAATGCCAACCTTAATGCAAAATAGATCCTAAATTGGTACCTATAGTTTGGATTTCCCTGGTACATTTATCATTTTATTTATCATCAACTTTAATTTTTCTATGGTTCAAAAAAAGTACCTACACCCTGTAATTAATAGCATGTTTGTTTTGTTTGTTGAATTGAACGATTACATTTATTTTCTTTTTTATAAGAAAAATTGCGTTTTTTTTTATTTTTTTTAAGTAGGTGTTGCAAACAAATGCTTAACGTAAATACCTGCCACCGAGTATTGTTATTATTGTGTATTGTTAATATTCTCTTATTATCGTCAAAGATCCCAGTAGGTCATTTTAGCAACGAAATTCGACATGCTGACGTGCTGCATTTTGCGCTACAAAAATACTAAGAATACTGCAGAAATCTTGATGGATCTCTCGAAAGGAGGCAGTAAAGTAAGTGCATTTTCTTAGAGTTGGCTCGAAATTTTAATGAATATGGTTCATTCAGAAAGCATATTACGTCTCGAAAACACGTATCTTTAGAAGAAACTCAGAATAGTGTTTTACAAACAGTTGCTGCGAACTCAGGTATCAACTAGACAAATCGAGAAAAATGTAGTAGTAGCCAAATCCACATCCCAATAATCAATTTTGCGTAAAAAATAGATATCACTCCTATAAATTCAGGATTTGCCAAGGGCTTAGACCAGGGGATAGCGAACGGTGCCAGCATTTTTATAAGTGGTACAGACGATCGTGTGAAGATTTTAATTTCCCTTCAAAAATAATATGGTCCAACAAGAGTATGGTCAATAATAATGGTATCTTTAATAGCCACAACACTCAGTACTGGGCTCAAAAAATCTGCGGGCCAAAAAAGTATCCAGACATCAAGAACGTTTTGGGTTTAATATGTGATGTGGAATTCTAGTAACCAAAATATTAGGTCCATTTATTTAGCACAACTCATTAACTGCAGAATGGCACCTTCAATCGTTGCAGAAGACTACCTAGATAATTTACCTTTGGAACAGATTAATAGCTGTTGCTTTCAAGTTAGATAGTATCTTTCTCTGCGATTTCCCGGAAGGTGGATTTTAACCTCTAGTGTCCTGGCCACCGCGTTCAACGGATTTAATTCCTCTGGACTTTTTCTTTGGCGTTTTATTAAAAACCAAGTTCATCAGCATACCTTTGAAACTGAGCACCATATACGAGAATATGTAATGGAAGCATTTGGTACGATTACACCAGCAATGTTACATAATGTTTTGAATTCTACTGTTTGAAGATCATATTTAATAATGGCAACTTATTTAAATACCTGTTGTGAATAAAATTCGACCCATACAGATATGGCAGTATAGACTCCTTCAACCCTATCAAGAGCCATGGCTATTGGATCTAGGTGAACAAAAAAATCGCTGGCATCTTCAGGAACAGAATATCGTGTTATTTCATACCTTGACGTATCATTGGATATATTTTTTGATGTTGTGTTTCTCCATTCGCGACGGTATACCCTGCATCTCTTTTGAGCACTTTCGACATTTTGCCCATTTTCCAGTAATGTCTTTCTTTTTAATCATGCATAAAAAATATCGCCAAACTGACTGCTTTGGTTTTGGCAAATATTACTTTTAACTACTATTATCTTAACAGTCAACACAAGGAAAAATTAATCAAGCGATTAACAAAAACATCGTCGCGCCGCGCGCTGGGGATACAACAGATCTAAAACAAAAGATTCTCGGCAGGGCTATTATATAAAAAACCGAAAAAACGACGAAATTTCATCTTGCAAACTATGTAGTTTTTAGTGTGCAAATAGTTCATTTCACGTTTTTACATAGTGGTATCGTCATACCGTATTTTCTTATTTGTTATGTTTGCATTATAATTTTTCTGTGATTTATTTGGCAATCACTATAATCCGACGCCATATTGGATACGCCATATTGAATTTCTGTTTATTGACAGCAGATTTGAAATCAGCGTCGCCAAAAACCCTCATGTATCAAATTTTGTGAGGATGCTGCAGAAGTTGTACTTTTTACCGGCTTTTTGGGTGTACCAGACGACTGTGTATATCCAAAAACTATTCAGGAACGTAAACACGCGACTCTTCAGAACAATGTCATGTGTTCAAATCACTCAAATATTGTCTGTGCTGTTCAATTTGAAGTGGGTGTGGATTTTACCACAGAAATAGACTACCAAAACTTGGCAATGTATTACATCAAGCTGCTTGAAGTGACAGTGGATGTTGGCCTTTACAACACAATCAACTCATTTGTAAAATTTGTACTACACTGCCACTTACAGTTCACCTATTTTTCTTTTGTCAGATGTTAAATTAATTAATGATTTGAGAGATTTATATATATTTAACATTATGTCATACATAGAAAACAAAAGTGTGCCACACTGCAGAATCTCTATAGCCACAGCACTGATTTTGATAAGATATGTGGAACAATATATAATAATATAATGTCATAGTGTTTTTGAAAACTAGTATCAAGATGTGGATAAAACAAAAGTATAAATATTTGAAAATTTTATATCTGGTGATTATTCATTCATATTTCCAATGACTTGAGGTATAGTGACAAAAAGAGGAGACTTTATATTTCTCTTGAAAATAATTTCTGGAGAAAGAACTAGTTTATGTTCTTTTAAATCCTTTTTACAGGTGCACACTTATAAATTATGAAAACGTTCTCCACTTTTTCTTGATAGGAATTATTTCAATTTAGAAAATTTTTATCCATTATAATTGATAGTTTGGTAGTATACTTACAATATAATCTTCGTCTTTATCTTTTGGTCCAGCACTAAAATAAACCCTATAAGCTTTGCATGCCTTTGCTACTTGCTCTTCAGTTCCTGTTAGCCCCAACAGCCTTGGGCTGAATTCTGCACAATACCTTCCCACTATTTCAGGCTTGTCACGATTTGGGTCAACAGATATGAAGATTGGTTGGATTTTGGGCATTTCTGTTGAGTTATCTAGAGAGAAAAGACATAATTTATAACATAAATCACTAGAGATGAATAGAGTAGTACTTTTTCAAAATTCAAGTACTTAGGCAGAAACAAGGAAAGCTCATCATTCACATTACTCATTGATGTTTGCTGCATCTAGTCTAAATTCTTTTTTAATGTGATCTGTGTCCCTTAGAAATATTTCAGTACATGACTATGGGTAAAATGACCATACACCTCACTTTGAGCAAGACTATCTCACTTTTTTCAAAACTTCCCTCCTAACACTCTCCAGTTTTTGATCATGGGAAACAATCCTACTAATTAAACCAAATTTCCACTTTGACTCAAAAAATTAATGGTCACATTTATAGACCAATTTATTTTCAAAATTGGATGTCAAGAAGGTATAAAGGAAGAATGATGTAACAAGATAAATACTATATTACCTAATGTATTTATCACTTCAGCCATTTTTTCCAGCTCATCTGGACAAATATCAGGACAGTGAGTGAATCCAAAATAAATCAAAATCCACTGTCCAAGAAATTCATCACTTGACCTCGGCTTTCCTGTACTGTCAATTAACTCAAATTTACCACCTATTGCAGCCTTCCCCAGCATACGCTTTCTCTCTCGCAATTGTGCTTAAAAAACGTGTTTTTTAGCATTCTGAATAACTATTTTTGCTACCAAATACCTTCTTCTTTTTCCTTTTTTAAATACCACATAAATGCAAGTAAACTGCCGCCTATTGCTGAAGTTATTGCTAAATTACGCCAAGATATTGGTCCAATACCAGTGCCTGGGGCTCGAGGCCGCTCAAAAATTGGTTTTTCTTCGCTGGACGGCCTGCTAAAGGGTTTTTTATTATTATTTGTGCTGCATTTTCTGTAATGTACAGTCTTTTGTAACACCCCATATTTCACGTTGCTGGAGGCCTGAAATACGAAAATTAAAACTGAACCAGTTCAAGGCGACTAAGAACTCTTATCCAACTACCTCTATAAGTGCACTGAAGCTGTGAATATGTTTAAATAATGTTAGTTTCTTCAAATTCCTGCAGGCCGTGGACATTATTTGATATTTACTATTTTTTCACTATCTTTGAGGTTAAGCTAACTGTCAACCGATTTGCATGAGCGTCATGTGACCTGTCAAGTCCTAGGCTGTTTCTTGCAGGTTGTAGGGGTCCGGTATTTGAGATGGTAAGGGCCGTATCGCCAGTCGTTCCTACAAGAATAATGTGGTACGCCTTTATAAGGTGGTTTCCACTGCCTCGTCTGGGTTACTCGGAGTAACTCTGAGCTACCCACCACCGTTCCAAAGCTCTAGAATGTCATGCACCTAAGCTACTCATTTTTCAAATCCCCAGCTTTTCATTCGGTGTTATACGCTTCGGAATAGTGGGAATAACGAAAATAATAATGTGTGAAGATTGTTAGGTTATGTGTTTTTGTTTTTTTTGCATTAAAAACACATTAAACCGATACCAGACAATAATGGATGCTAAGAAACTGATAATGTTATGACCCAGAGTCACAACGTACATTTGAGATGTTCATGAATAATAAAGATCACAAGAGAGTGCAAGAATGCAGGTTCACAGCGGCTTCATCTATAACTAGACAATAAAAATAATTTGAACAATAAAATATGAATTCGACACATTTATCCAGAAGATTTCCAATAAAAATGCTTTGACGTGTTTCGCCATCATCAAGCATCAATTGGATAGTCTGACAATCTTCTGAAAATAATAAGGCAAAATGTGTTCACATTTTCATTGTTTGGCAGTGTGATACAAATTGTCAACGTGTTTATCGTCGCGTCCGCGTGCGCATTTGCTAGAGTAGTTCGGAAACGTCACACTCCGGGTGCATACAAATCTCAATTCAAAAGCACTGGAAAGCACCTATGGCCTCCTTGATTTTTATAGTTTTTATTCTCCTTCAGAAACGCAGGGGTATTTTTAGAATTCAAATGTTTCGTGTCAGCGCTCTATTTTGAGATTATACTTTCTGTTTAATTCTAAAAAAATTCACGATGATAAAACTTGACTCTTATCATTTGTTTTATAAACCTTAAATTTCTTAAGATTCCAAAGGAAAACATAACCTCACAATAGGAGAGCGCTGATGCTGACATGGAACGGTAGAAATCTGAAGACGAGAAAAGACTATGACAATCAAGGAGGCCATAAAGGCATTCTGCAATTGTAGGAACGCCTGACGATACAGCCCTTAATGTTTACTTTTATGAAAGAATACAAAATTACAAGTAACATTGTATTCTTTGCAGTGTTATGTCGCTAATCGCTTTCGTCACCAGTCAGTGTCATGACTTGACACTTGCCTGCCGCAAGTCACTATTCTCGTAGTTAATCGTTAATCGATATAAGGTCTGTTCGTACAGTGGTCGGTGTCTGGGTCTGGGATCCGACCGTGTGAATTCCGTCTTATAGCTTAGGAATTTTCTTTTTCTGTTTCTCGCATTTAGAAGTTCATCAAATTTGCATACGTATGATATCCGGGATCAATAAAAAAAAGTTTATGCGCAACTATTTTCTAGCTCGGCATAGATCTCCAGTAAGTGTATTTTAAGCAAGAAACCGACATACACATACACTGCAGTGTTTCCTACCCGCTATAGTATAAAACTTACGGCTTAGGCCATGGGAGCTATAAATGGCCTCAGCTGTTGAAGTCTCTGAATGCTACAACACATTAGAGCCAAGGTACATGACTCAAGCGTCATAACATTTAGGCAACACACACAGCTACCACAACTGAACATGACGCAATGCCAAGGTGACGTTTTTCGGAAAACCTGTAAGGTGACTTTAAAACTAGATGTCACCGTTTAGTTACGTAATACAGGTGTTGTTTGCCAAATGTGGCTATTTTTACTCAAATGGTCTATACCAATGTAATGTATGAAAGCGCCTAAGAAAATCTATACGTCATTTGTCATCTGTCAACTTTTTGGTTATGTTTTTTCTTCCTTTTTTGGTTATGTCTTTACGCGGTTTAGGATGGAGTTAACGATTTTAAATTAAAATTCTGGTTTTTAATTATGATGAACCACAAATTAACGTCTTCAGGCTCGTTCCCAAGTACGTATCTAATATAAATCTTATTTAAGCATAATATTCAATCAATTTATTTCAGATTCTCAAGAAAATGAAGAATCAGATAACTCGGAAAGTGAACTGGAGGAAAATGAAGACATAAGCTACTTTGAGGAACTATCTGAAAGCGAACCTGAATTGGAATGTGATGTCTGGGACGATGACTGTAAAGTTATACCAAAGAAACCGTCGTCAGTTATCGGCCGTAAGTATTTGGATTGGTGTGTGATAATGGTTCTAAAGTTTATTTGGATACATAGGTCATCTCATGCCAACTTGCGACAGAGATCCAGAGCTACATCCAAACAAGAGAACCAGAGTAGCACCAGAAATAAATAAGAAACTCGCCTCCAAAGATTTTATAGAATTGCTCAAGCAGAATTGGACAAAAAATACGAATCTTGTGAATGACAATGTAGAATTAGTTGTGGATCCATTCAAAGTATGTGTTTTAAAAAACTTCATTGACAATGCCAGTTTTTTGGATGAAGTACGAAAGGAATTTTATGAGTTAGATTGGAACTGTAGGATTATGGACCTTTATGAGTTTTTCCAGTCCAAAGATCTCAAATATTTGAATAGCGAATACCTTAATGGGATGTTTGGTTTCTTAAAGACTTCTGTTTTAAAATGGGTAAGCATGAGATACTTGCATGGCACTGATATAAAAAAATGTATCACATCTGTAAAGTGAATGGCAATATTTTTAAAGCAGAAAGTACATTTGAAAATAACAAGGAAAGCTTTGGAGTCGTAAAATGCAGTTTCATTGAGGCTGCTGTCATATTTATAGAATCAATAAAAAATAATTTCTATATAAAAGTATATTTTGACCCTTAAAAAAGAAATAGTACATTACACAACATGTTTGAGAAGTGTCCATTATTAAACAAGCACTTTTATACTGAGGTGCATAGTGCCAGGGTAATATAATGTGTAAGACTAATAGCCTTCTCAAATGAGGTATGAATAGAATGTTTTTCTCTAACACAGTGTATACCAAATATTCCAAGATGAGTGTGGTAAAAATTTATTCTTTTTGTTAACATTAAAAGCTGTTTTTAAACATTATACTCATAATTACTTGTTTCTCAATTCTCAATTGTTCTAAAATATTTCAAAATATAAAGATTGGTTGTCAAACTAACACAACAAAATTGACAGGATACAATTTCAAATAACAATATTATTTGCCAATGTGTTTTTATTTCATTATTTACCTAGGTAGATAAATGCTGCTTCTCGGTAAGGCATTAGTAGTGAAAAAACAAATGTTGTTTCTCATTTTGAGTATTTTTTTTAAACTATTGCATTTTTCAATAAAGCATCTTTACATGAATTTTATTGCCTAATAAATTTTTGACAGACCATTCCTTTTGAATAACAATTGGGTAGAAACCTGAAATTTCATTGCTAAACCTCCTTAAATTTGATCTCCCTAATCAATACTATCATTGGCATAGAAATGTATACCCTGCATCTCAAAAAAGGGACACTTCAGTACACTATGTTTATAGAACTTTTCCATTATTTTTGGATGGACATTCTGCTTGTGAAATAATGCTATTCTGAATATCCTCTATTTATTTGCTTTAGGTAGAGGAGTTAACAGGGTTTAGCTTAACACATATATCTGCAACATGCAGCATATACACAAATACAGATTATTTATTGGTACATGATGATCAAAGAGAGGATAGAATGGTTGCCTTCATATTATATTTAACTGGAGAAGAGGGATGGAATGAAACGAAAGGAGGAGCATTGCAGTTGTTTGGAAAGGATCAAAACGGACAACCCAAAGATGTTGTTAGAGATATATATCCAGCAAATAATCAGCTAATCTTGTTTCCTGTTGCCAGTGATTCTTACCATCAGGTATTGCATAACAGAGTTTTTTCATATAATAGTCTTGCATATTGAGTATTCTTGCTAGGTTGGGTTATGCGTATGCCTTTTCCTAAATATGAATCCAAACATTTGAAAAATTAGTGTTGTGTATTTAGAAATTTTATTTTCAGGTAGCTGAAATAACATCACTTAGCGATTGCAGAATGAGTATAAATGGCTGGTTCCATACAAAGATCCCACCAACATTTGAAATTCCATCGTTTATCCCACCAGAAAAAGGGCTTTATAGCAGAAACACACTGAAACCAAAGGTGGTTGATATTGACTTGGAATCTTGGATTAATGAGGATCACTTAGCAATCAAGAATATCAGATTGATACAGAAACACATTGAAGAAAATTCAGAAATTTCATTGCACAACTTTTTCAAACAAGAATCATTCAGGGAAATACAACAGACATTGCTGAGTAAAGGTATGATTGCTGGATTATTGTTCTCATTTTTTTTTTCTACATTTTTCTATGAACAAAGTTTGTGTCCGTCCCACTCTAATGTCAAACACAAATCATCAGATTATTGAAATACACAGTTTTCAGCATGAAATGTACCCAGCTTATCTTGGTCTGATGCGCTTGAATAAATAACAAATTCCCCTATTGTGCAGATCAAAGATACATTAAAATACCCCTTTTGAATCTTTGATCCAATAAAATATTGTTGTGTCTGAGAAAGTCTTGACTGTCTGATTATAGAAGTATCATTTTTTTTTCAGATACAACATGGTTGAAATTAGGTCCGCCAAACAGATATTGTTATGAGGTTCTAGATGCCAATAAGTTACCACACAGCCTTGATAGATTTTTAAGTTTGTTTCAATCAACAGAAATGTTCAAACTACTGAGCAAATATACAGAGCTTGAACTAACTTCACCAAATGCTTCTATGAAGTATGAGCTCCAGAGATGGAGTCCTGGCAGCTACTCTGTAAGTTAAACAAAAAATCCGTAGAATATTTATCATTACAGTGTGTCGTGGCAATTAATTTGCGAAAATTCAGTAATAACTCGGAAGCTATGAAGGATACTGGAAAAGGAATCTACCTAGCCATGGAAAAAACAATTGAAATGCACAAGTATTATAATGTCAAGCAAAAGTTTGTGTTCTACTCTTACTTGCAAAATTTGAGTTAATTTTGATAATCAATTAAAAATTTATGAAGTGAATTGTGGAGAAAAATGACAAAAGAGGGCCATCAGTCGACAACAATTCTTGAGAGAATGATTGCCATCTATGGGGATGTTTACACAATAAAATTTTGATCGAAACAGTTTCGATGGGGGCATAAATCCATGGACAATCCCAAAACAGCAACAAATGATGAGATTACTAAAAAAATTTAAGCCATAGATCTCGACGTGAACTGTGAAGCTTATTCGAAATTTCAATCTTTCAGATCTCAAACACAATCCTAAGCCTAAAAAGTCATAAAAAGGTACTTTAAAACTGGTTCGTATGGCAGTGACACTGCTTTTACTGTCTCCTGAAAAATTCAAATTATTGGACAGGTTTTTGCCCTGACCAATTCAATTATTTTGATTTTTTTTAAATTGTGTCAAAAGTTCTCATCGATTCCCTGTTAGTTTTTAGCGAAAACAAGTATTTTAACATTGTCGCACCCACTGTACATATAGCCCTGCTATGCCCCAATGACTCTTTCCTTTCACTCACCCTGGTATCATAAAGGAGTTCAAAGAATATTTGACCAAGGGGCTAAAGCGTTTATTTTCTGAGCATTACTAAGGGTACTTCCGTTCCTGAGAGCAACCTCAAAATCAGTGCTTAGAATAAAAGGAGGACGATTTTAATGATAACATTTTGCCTCAGTCATATTCTCGTAACTTGATTGCTACACCACGTATACCAAGTACCACAAAAATTCTAAATGGCAACACTGTCTAGCTACTATATACAGTGGCGAGACTCGACGTATGATTTAAACCCTCGGCAGTCGCTAGACGTACATAACTGCATAAAATGGATATTATCGTTGATAACATACTGTATAATTTTCGCAATTATTTTCAGTTATTAACGGACTACAACTGGCAAGAGAAGAATGAATTGGATATTATTGTTTATTTCGGATGCAGTAAAAGTTCAGATATTATAGGAGCCAGAACACAGTATGTTACAATAGAAGATGAGGTTCAGAACGCACTCATAACTCTAGAACCAGAAGAGAATAATATAAATATAGTTTACAGGGATTCAGCAAGGTTTACTAAGTATTTCAGTAAGCAGAGTAAGTGCCCATGTTTTTATACACTAATTTGTTCATATTCTGAATAAAATTCAGTGTGTGGTCATATGGTTTAATCTTTGTCTACTAAATCCTCTACGTGCGTTTCTACTACTCCCAAGATCAGAGTGAGTCCTTATGGAGGTTTTTGGCCTTGAAAATAATTACATTTTAAGTTGGTCATATCTATGGGATTTTTGCACGTAAACATTTATGAATATATGTATATCAAATGTCTTTACATATTTTTCTTTTTTTTTTAGTACTTGATTGCTCTTTCAAAAACCAAAAGCTCCGCAATTTTTCAAAATCACCTATTTTTGAGTATTTAACCTACATTTTCATATGAGCGTCGCAACAATCACTATTTCAAATCTATAGTAAAATATACTGAGACACAACAACATATATGAAAACGAAAGTGTTGCGTCACATTGCAATCTCAATAAAAACAGAAGCTGAAACGAATGCACAATTATTGCGAGAATTTCGACCATTGTTTTTATTGCAAACACAATGGCGTAACCTTGCATTTTCCAATATAATGTTTTCTGGTGTGTCTGTGTGTGTGTTATGGAAGTTTTGCTACGATGCGATTATATGTCTAGAAATAGTAACTTAAAACAATAAGAGAATTTTAAACAAAAATATCAACATTGCCAAATTTGAGTTTCCAAAAAATAACACTGGACAACAAATTTTAAATTGTATCTTGTGGGAAAAGTGCACATCTTTGTTAATTTTGGGACGCTGAATCCAAAAATGACAATGAAATAAAACAATTAGTTGCGGTTTAGAAAAAAAACTTTTTATTTTTAAGGATATATTAAAAAAAGTAACAAGGTTCATATACTTATAAGAATCACTATATGCGCTGTCTTTTTGCTGTTCTTTTATGGATCGTTTCTGGAGCATCCCTACCAAGTGTCCAACAGTAGTCTGCAAGCATGGAAGGATTCCACTTTCCCTGGTACCTTTTTTCCATTGTTGAAATATCCTGATGAAAACGTTCGCCGTGCTCATCACTTACGGCTCCGTAATTGTCAGGAAAAAAGTCCAGGTGTGAGTGTAGGAAATGTATCTTAAGAGACATATTACAGCCCATCTTTTGATACGATGGCAGCATATTTTTGACAAGGGTTTTATAGTTGTCAGCTTTTCTATTTCCCAAGAAATTAGTGACCACCAGACGGAAATCATTCCAAGCAGTTTTTTCAATACTTGTTGAAGTGTTTTCAAACTGTGTATCTTTCAAAATATTTCGAATCTGTGGCCCAACCAAAATACCTTCTTTAACCTTTGCCTCACTTAGTCTTGGAAATTTCTGACGCAGGTATTGAAAAGCTGACCCATCTCTATCTAATGCCTTGACAAAGTTTTTCATTAGGCCCAACTTGATATGCAGTGGTGGTAATAAATTTTTTTTTTGAATCTACTAATGGCATATGCTGTACATTTTTTTGACCTGGCTCTAGGAATTGACGAACAGGCCAGTTTTGTCTGGTGTAATGAAGTGCCTTTGCCCGACTGTCCCATTCACACAAAAAATAGCAAAACTTTGTGTAGCCTAGCTGCAGCACAAGTAAAAGTGTAACAACTTTCAAATCGCCACAAATATGCCATTGGTGCTCATCGTATTTTATGCATGTCAATAGGTAGTTCATATTGTCATATGATTCTTTCATGTGAACTGCATACCCTACAGGAAGAAGAGATGGTATAATATTTCCAATATGCAATAACACTGCCTTTAAACTCAATGTTGAACTGTCTATAAACAATCTCCAATCTTCTGGGTTATAGTTTATATTTAAAGCCGCCAGTAAGCCGTTAATGTTACTGCAGAAAACCAAGTTATTCTCCATATTGAAAAATGGTTCTAAGTCTTTGTGGCGTTTACGAAAAACACATACCGAAACATCGTCTTCTAACAAGTTCCACTGCTGCAGTCTTGATCCAAGTAACTCTGCCTTACATTTTGGAAGTTCTAAATCTCTTACAAGATCATTTAATTCTGACTGTGTTATTTTGTGCGGTTGGTGGCATGACGTGCTCGATATAAAATCAGGATCTCTTGACGTTGATGGCATATCTTCTTCCTGACGAATCACTCGATCGCCATGATCTGATTCGTTTTCTGATTCGCAAGTGTAGGATTCTGAGGGTTTTGGAATAGGATTTTCGTCACTGTGACGCACAGGTCTCATCGCAGATGGTATGTTTGGGTAGTTAATAAACGATTTTTTTTTCTTCGACATACCTGTGGCTTGTCCAACACAAGGTACCATGCAAAAGTAACAATCATTAGGTAATATGATTTGTAGGCTCTCTCCAAACCATTGGGACAGCAAAGCGCATAGACCGTTTTTTGCCATTTAACCAGCTCCTCAGACTTGAAGCACATGTATTACAGCAGATGTGGGGTGCCCACTGTTTGTCTTGATCACCTAGTTTACAACCGAAATAAAGCTGATATGCCTTTGTTATTAGTGGAGTAATAGACCGTCTCTGAGACGCAAAAGTCACATCACCACACACGTAACAAAACTGATCTGGATTGTGTACACACTTTCGAGACATCTTGCATGAACGCTGTCAGCCAACTGAGGAAAAAATGGCTAATATAAAACAATATAATGTACACGTATGTATAACGTAACACAATCATGCCGATTACATCATCTTTCCTTGCCGAATATAAAAATGTAGCACGTGCATTCTTGTGAATTACAGTATATTAACACTGTCACAGCAGGAACACATATAATTACCGTATCTCTAAAACTTGAACTAATATTGAAAAAATAAGTTTCATTCCGGTTTTAGCACATTAAAAATAGTAATATTTTGTTGATTTTATTTAGGATATTTTTTGGCTGTTGATTAGTGTAATTACTTAGATTAAAAAAAAAAACATTGATGGATGTTGAAAATAAATATCTTTTTTTCAAATATTAATTTCATAGATGCCATCAACATCAAATTTGAGTTATTGCCAGGGCCAAAAAAAACCCTTATGGACACTAATCCTTTGTGCGCGGCGACTTATGGCGCGAAAAATAGACACATATTACAACATGTCCTCAGGGCTTCTGTGCAATTTCCATTACTAAAAAGTCTCGAGATGTATCGCGTGACAGTCTGCAGCACGCCGGGTATAGTACGATTCTAATACTGCAAAGTTGTGCAACACGTTGCATGGCCTTGTATCTCTTTTGGCTACTACTTTTAAAGGCATATACTGTGAGGTTCAAATTTGGCTGACGTCGTAATGTGCACGAGAGAGAAGCGCGAGAGGCTTGTAATATGTATTTTAGTTAGAGTGCGTCGATGGCGTCCGTGGCCTTGTTACTCGGGTTCCTAGGATCGAGGTCCTTCTATCGCTTTCTAACATTCGCATTGCATGCTTCTCGCGCTTTTCTCTCGTATACAATACGGCGTCAGTGTTATATGTTTCCACTGTATGTAGATATCGTGGCCATATTGTAGAATTGACCATTTCATGAAATGGCCGACTAATGACCATATCGTTAAATCGTCAACGTTTCTTTTAACCTAATGAGCAGATGGGAATCATACGGTCTCAAGTTCGCACTATACGGTTGGTGGGTCAAATTGCAGAAGAGGAACCGTTTGAGAATCCTTAAGCACTTTCTCACAATTACTCTTTCTGGATTACGCGGCGGAGTTTTTCCAGTCTTTCACAGTACCTTAAGTTGAAATAATCGATGAGGTTCACTCCTTTATCAAGAACCTGGCGGATGTATCAGTTATTGGAAGCTAACAAAGATTGAGAACTGGAAGTAGGGGGTTGCTAAATTCCAACCAATAACGACGCAGAACTGCGATAGCAGTACGTGGCCGTACCGACGCCATACGCTGCGAACTAAAGCGCACTTTAGTTGTCGGTTGGCGTGACTGGAGGCTGCTGCGTCGAGACCTCCGAGGAACGCTCTGCTTATGTTACGACTCGTTGTTATAGTTGTATCCAGAAAAGCATTTGTCGGCGATTCCCCTCAGTGTCGTCGTGTCGTGATGGTGGTTTGAGTGATTTTGTGATAATTGTGGGTGAAAATGTGTTGTGCTTGTTCATAAAAGGCGAGTGTGGTGGTGTATTTTCACGTTGGATATTGTGTGTTCCGATCTCCTGGAAAAATGAATGTCTTTAGAGCAAGCTAGGTACGTACTCATCTACTTGTGTGTTAGCTTTGAGCTCATAATGTCTAGCCTGACTTCGTGTGTTGTGGTCGAAAGTCATTAGCAATTTTTCTCTTAAGTTAAACGTTTTCATGTTAGAAGCGATTAAAGTTCTGAGAAACCTTAAGAATGTCGATCTTCAATGCTTTAAAACGCGGTTAAAATTATCATCTTTAAGGTTGCAAAGTGTCTAAGTTAAATTCTTACCTCACCCTACAAGACTCATTACTTAATTGTTAATAACGCGAGGCGCTGATGCGTATTCCAATGCCCGTTATTAACAATTAAATAGTAGTTCTGCAAAATACTCCAAGTAGGAGAAGGTTTGAAGTTTAATGGAGACTTTGAGTAACATGAGATACATTTTTTTTGGGTTTCTCGGATGTTTAATCGCTTATCACTCGAAAACGACACTTTCAGGGAGAAAAAACTTTTTTTATTTGCAATGTTCCAAAAAGACTAAAATATTTTTTTTGTCGTTTGTAATTGTTTAAACTTTGCAGAGAGTTACCTCCCAGTAACCTCATGATTCATTCAAAAATCGAGTTGGAAAATTTCCCTCAAGAATTTCTTTTCGTTTCGTCCATATAAATGTAAATACATAATAAATAGCACGCTTTCATGTGAAAAAGCCGGATTGTGTTGTGTTTATATCTGATCACTCGTATAAAAAGTTGTTTACGTTTTTTACCAAGAAAGAAATACTTCCACACAATATTTTTAAGAAATGAATTTTGAAGATTTGCTATTAATTGAACTATATTTATGTTGTATCTTTATAAGGGCTTATATAAAAGTACGAACTAGAGAGATTCTGTAGGATGTCTATACAGAGTGTTAAACAAATAGACGGAGATATTTTAGAGGATGATTCCTTGTTAAAAGATATGAAAAAAGTTCCTATAAACATGGGTCCGGAAATGCTGAGTTTTCAAGATACAGGGTGATACATTTTAAAACATTTTTTTTTTAGATACGAAAAACAATACATGAGGCAGATAACTTGTATATTCAGATGCTTAATCAAACAACAAATATTAAAGTTACAAAAAAGGCAGTGGCGTGCATTTTTTGCCAATAATATTCGCTAAGGTGCCCCCGGGACGCCACTGGACCTTATATTTTTAATCTATTTAGGGCCTTTTAATGCACCCATGTTTATAGAAACTTTTTAACAAAGAATCACCCTCTCAAATATCTCCGGCTATTTTTCGAACACCCTGTTGGCAGCAAGCCCAAAATTCCATCTCTTTATTTTCAAAAATTCTGACAATTTTATCCATCAATGACTCTTTAATTCATCGACTGGAAATATTTTCTTTTGGCAGTATATTCACAAAAAAATATAGCACTAATTCTTTAGTCTATTCGAAGGTTACTTTGTCCTTAAATCGTTTTCGAAAAACGGTTTCGTTTTGCGGGATTATTCATTGTCTTACCACAATTTTTCGTCATGTTTTTATAATTTATAGACATATTTTTTTTTTTCACGAATTCCACGGACTGTGCAGACGTGGACCGGGTATTTTCCATGTGCGTGCGAACCAGTTTTTATAAAAGGTGTCAATATATTATAGCATGCTACATATTTTATTTATATTCATTTATTTAACCAGATATTTGGAACACGGCACAATAGAAACGGGTTACGAAAATAGTACCAGCTTAACTTTGTTTAGATATGAAAAAGCTTTTATAGCCGTTCGCATGCAGAAATGCTCGATAGAATTGAAGAGAATAGAGGTCACAAAAAGGAAGTTTCGAGAATAGTGAATTTAAAAGTTTGAAGACTCCTAGATTCGTACAGGGTGGGTCAAAGATCTGATGGAGAACCATAGATTCTTTATTATAAGGAACTGAAAAAATAGTTGAAGTTAAATTATAAGTAATTTTTATTATATATACAGGGTAGCCCAAAAGTAAAAGCATACCAAACATTTTTTAATGGAAAATCCATTTTATTTTTGTATTTTGAGATTATCCTTGTGATCTTAAACATTTTTTATGTGTTATAACCAGCAAAATGCTTATCTCTAGTTTTACGATCTGTTCTAATATGAGAACAACCTTAACAGGAAATTTATTACACAGGGCTTAGAACAGTATTTTTTTAATTGGGACAAGAAAAAACAATGAACTGTAAAAGTTTTATTCAAAAGAATATAGATCAAGCAAAATAAAATTAATGGCAACTGCTTAAAAATTATTAACGTTTATTTCTTTCGTCGCAGATTGGTGTATGGTTAATTGTTATAGTACCTACAAGTCAGCGTTGCCAACCCCATCCGAGAGAAAAACTGTATATGAGGTTGAAAAAACTGTTTATAACTGTAGAATATTATTTAAAAACTGTAAATCAACAGCCTACCATTTACAGTATTTTTCACGAGTATCTATCCAACCAAGAGCAAAGGTCCTACGGACCACTCTGACAGACAATGACGAATAGTACGAGTATCTATCGCATAAGCAAATTCTTTTTGAGCGGTTGTAGTTCTGGTTGGCCTTGAGTGACATTAAAATGACAGAATTTCCATTCGAATTTTTCCAAATCCGCTAAGGCGAACCACAACCGCTCGAATTTTGTTTGCATGCATGATCAGCTGACTTTTTGAGATTGTTACGAATAGCACACTTCTGTCTTAACTTGAATCAAGTTCTTTTCGCAGCGGTTCTGATTCTGGGTGACCTCGAGTGACAAAAATGACAATTTGAATTGAATTCTGCCATTTTCATCAAAATCAGAACAGCTGCAATCAGAATTTGATTCAAAGTAGATTTTCTTAAGGGTAGGTCAGAAATAAAGCCAGTGTTGCTAGGGATCTGTGTTCGGTAAACTTGTTCAAAATTTTTCGGTTATTTGTAAACTGTAGCTTTGAAGGCCCAAACTGAAAACTTGGAAGATTTTTGAAAAATTCTACATTTAAAACTGTAGGGTTGGCTACCCTGCTACTAGTTTCGGTGACGATCAGTGGACGTTCACCACAACGGCTGTGACATTCATCTTTTTATTCCCTGTACGCAAGTTTTCAATTTGGTATAACTACGGAGCATCATTGCTTTGCGCTAGTTTCCGATACCTCATGGGATTGTACTGCGTTAAGATTGTTGCCGGTTCTAACTACAAAATATTTGTGACATTCGTATTTTTCCCATGTACCCTTCAATTGTTTCTTCCGCATTTCCTGTCCAAAGCAGTACTTTTATACTCATGCTGTTTTACTTGTTCCAGGGACTAGAGCAGTTTGCTGAAATGTAAGTGCATTTAGGGTTTTCTTATTGGTGTAGGGTTCACAGCCGAAGACGAGCGAGACTGCCAAACATGCCCTCCCCCAGGGTGCCTCATTTAGATAGTTAGGAATCACTAGGAAAAAGCGTCCGTTCAGTAGAGAAGTCAGGAAAATCGTTTGCGTCAGATAACTCCAAATAAGTGGTCGTGAATAGAGAGTAGCTAGGGAAATGTTAGGGAACTTTTTTAGGGCACTCTGCGATGTGGGCACATCGAGGGATACAGACGACTCATCATGCCCATGCGGGGCTACATTAGAGGTAAATGTGTTTTTATAAATAGGACTCCCATGTAATATATTTTGATAATTTATCGACATATTTTGAATACCCTTACCTAAAAATTGAAGTTAGTCGTTGGTATCTACGACTTCCGCGAACTGCGGAGACGAGCAGGGGTATTTTTCATGTGCGTACGAATAAAAGGAGTCTACGTATATATATTATAGGGAACTATTTTAGGTATATTCATTTATTTAGCCATGCAATACTATGGAATTACAAACTACAAAAATAGTACCTCAATAACTTTTTTTTAGATAAGAGAAAGCTTTTATAGCCGGTCGCATGCAGAAACGCTCGATAGAGTTTTCCCATCCGCTTTTCCTGTCCAAAGTGTGAGAAGAGAGTTTTAATAATGTAGTACTGCTGTTTATACTTTTTACAGGGACTATGACAGTTTGCTGGAATGTAAATGCATTTATTTGGTGGACAACTCTTCATACTGCCCATCACTAGGAAAAATAACACAACGGTTGCAAACTTTGAAAGTTCTGAGTATGTAAAACATATGCTTAAGCGAAAATGTTTGTCTCAGAGAACTTCAAATAAGTGGTCGGGCGTAGAGGTAAATTTGTTTTTATATTTTATATAGGACTTCTATGTAATAGGTTTTCTCATGAAATTTTCTGAAGTATTATTGGGCTTAGTTATTGCCTTCAACTACCGAAACTGTGCTAAACTTTAACGATTGCATTGTGCAAATGTCCGTCAAGAAGAGGGAAAAGAGAAGGAAGGAATTACCCTGGGTCCATAGCCGAGCTGCTAATCATAGATCCAGAATTTAAAAAACACTGTTAAGTATTAATATGGTGTTAATGTAAGTACAATGTGTGAAGAAATGTTTCGTGGTTAATCATTTTCAGAGAGATGTCTTGCAAATCACGTGGCTGACGTAAAATCGTCCAGTGTTTCTGAGGAATGAGATATGTGAAAAGTTAGTAGTAGTAGTTCTGGTAATACTTACTGATAGTAGGGCTAGTAGTAGATCATTACAGGTATGAGGCAAGGTGCCCCAGCATGCAAGGTGGTTTGTAAAACTGTGGTCCTCACTCCAGGCTGTGGCCCAGCGAGGGTCTCCAAAACTATATTTATTATTATATGTTTTTTTTTTAATTATACATATTTGGTATTTGCTATTTCTATTTTACTATCGACAGCTGGATAAAACATGTTCATTTATCGAGAAAATATATTTACAAGCAAAATGGGTTACCACAATTGTTATTTTTACGTATTTCATAGGTCTATTGTCTATGATCATTTATGTTTTAAAATCGCAGCGCAGGTGTTTTTTTTAGTTTGTTTCAGCTTTTAGGTGAGAATGAGAACATTCCGTATTTCAGGAATGGTGATGGACAATGATAAATATGGATGATAATGATATATTTATTATAATTTTAATTTTAGCTTACATTTGGTATTTACAATATTTTTATTAGGTACATATATTACGAACATATCTACTTTTAGCTAAGATGAGATTGCACATTTCTTATTTTTACGTATTTTACAGAACTGCTGTTCAAAAACTTTCAGGTTTTCTTTCAGAATCATAACTCAAATATTTTTATCGAGCCATGAGATAGTAAATATTGATTATGATTATTTGTAAAGGCAACTGTTCCAAAAAATGTTCTGCCTGGATAGCTGAATGAATGTTTTATTGGGCATACACGAGTTGGGCAAAGATAGAGGTTGAATAGGAACAATAAAAACATGTTAAGAATTATCAAAGTGCTGATTTATAGTATGCTGCAATACATGAAAACAGCAAACGAACATCAACATTTTTACAGGGTAAGCATTGGAGAGTATGGCATCAAGAAGGTTGGTTTTGAACTTCACGAACCACTGAAGTATAGATAGAACTGTTAAGGATCTTGGAAACGTTTCCAAGAGATGTATTTTATGAACTTACCCTAAGAAGACCAAACTATACTTAAATAAATAAACACAGGGTCAACCTACTTGATGTTTCAAAATAAATCTTCACGATTTTCATGCAACTTTTGAAGAAATTAGGAAGACATTACATAAGGGACATACCTACTTGGGAAACTAACATAATGATGCCAAAACTTATATGAAGATCAATTGAATTCATAATCGAAATAATGAAAGGTATTTTTTACATAAACTTAAACTTTTTTATTCTTCATGTTTCACTGACGTCTTACCTGATAAGTCAATCTTATCAGGAAATATATATTCTGAAACCTATTGCTAAAAGCAGCGGCTCCACAGAATAAGTCGTTCACCAAAGTTTATTTTTCTACTTTAACTTATCAGAAACTACGGGTGGCATTTTTAAAGTATTAACCAATTGCGCATCCTGTAACGTGACCGTTCAATCTCAGACACTCTTGGCCAGCCTCTCGCTACGCCGCTATAAAAAATTCATGATCCATTAGTTTGGTTGGATAATATCAATTAGGCCTTTCCTCCAAGGATATTCAAATAAATTGGATCACAGAAGAACTTGAAACAATTATTTTTAAATTTATATACGGTGATTCCTGTTGTAATACATTGTCAGTGAAATAGTCGACATGAAAATCACAGGATAAAATTTTCAGATGCTACATTAACCAAAAACTGGTACCATTATTTGACTTGTGAATGTTTATGGTCAATGTGTTAAAAAATGAAAAAATGCTCATATTTTAGTTTGTGATATACTTTACATTCATAAATGAAATTTCTCTGACTCGAATACAAAACGGTTCTTATTTAAAAAATGACCCTCGTGGAAACCGTTACTTCAATGCCACTTTTTTTTAGGTTAATAACTGTGGCATACTGGTGGATTATATATGTTCGATTGTACAAATAAACCCAGAATTATGGAACGACTTGATTTTTCTTCACCTGATACAATTAATCTGAGCAGTGATGGTTGAGGTTTTCTAGGGGTTTCCCTCGCCCAAGTGCGAATGCAGTGACCAAGAAACCATATTCCCCTAATAAATAGAGAAAATAATGTAATTTTAGATAACAAAGATAATAAATATATTTATATAGTAAAACTTTGTTTTTTCCCATAAAAGAATTAGGCAAAAAAATATTTTATCCTATCAAAGCCCTGTTCGTACAGGTGTCGTCACCTGTCAGTGACCGTGTCCAGGATCCCGCCACACAAATTCCGCTCATTCTGCTACGCTATATAGACTAAATTCACATGGCCGGATCCCAGACACAGTCACCGGCAGGTCACCGACCACCAGCGTTCCCACCGACCCATCCGAGAAAATAACTGTATATGAGCTTACATTTACAGTATTTTTCACGAGTATCTATCTCGAACCAAGGTCAAAAAGTGACAGTTTTGCATTTCTTAAGCAAATTCTTTTTGAGCGGTTGTGGTTGGCCTTAAGTGACAAAAATGTCAGAATTTCTATTAAAATTTTTCCAAATTCACTCAAGGCCAACCGCTCAAAAAGAATTTGCTTTTTGCATGCATGATCAGCTGTCATTTCTTTGCCATTGTTCGGCGATAGATACTCATGAAAAATAGTTTATAGCTTACAAATAGCATACTTCTGACTTGACTTAAATCAAGTTTTTTTCGCAGCGGTTCTGATTCTGGTTGACTTTGAATGTCATAAAAATGACAAAATTTTAATTGAATTCTGTCATTTCCATGTCACTTAAGGTTAACCAGAACCGCTACAAAAAGAATACATTTCACGTATAATTCGATCTGGCAAGTGGTAGATTTTACTAGGACCGAGTTATTGTATGGACTTCGTAGTAAACAAAACAGATGGCGCGAGCATCTTAAATGAAAAACTGTAGAATTTAAGGCCCGAACTGAAAACGTGAAAGATTTTTGAAAAACTAAATCCACAATTAAAACTGTACGGTTGACAACCCTCCCGACCACTGTATGAACAAACCGAAAACTGAGAATTTATAAAAGTGTTCAGAGTCATTAACGTTCTACCGCATAGACGCCAGGAGAGTTGTCGCAGTATTTTGTATTGCGAGTGGTCTTAGCATTTTCGAACTGAGTGGGCCCCAGACTCGGTTGCAGCGACCCAAAAAACATTGTTGAACTCACGTTCCCAAAAGATGCGGTTCAAATGACCTCTATCGTGCATATTTTGAGTCGCTAAAGTCAAATCCGATGTCACTTCACATGTATCTAATCCAGTCAAACGTGTAGATCTAATTACTTGACTTTAAGGGTCCAAAAATGCATTTTTATTATCGATGGGTACATGTGACCGGAACTTCGTACAATAAAGTAATTTGGGGTGCTGAATATGAGCATAATAGAAAAACAATTCCAAAGGGTCATCGGACCTTTATTTGGGGTGACATTGGTAAGAAACTTTTAACTTGGGGCGATCCGTGAATCCTAACACTAAATTTCCATCGAATGCGGAATCTACGCACAAAATTTTTCTAGAAAACGAGCTTCCATCTAGATAATGGACTCGCAACAGTTTTTGGAGATTAGTCGTTTTTTGACAAAGTGGAATTCTTGCCATTATCTCGAAAACGAGGACTTTTCGAACTGAATTACCCCCTGATTCAGTTTTAGCGACCCAGAAAACGTATTATAAGATTGGGTTCACATTTTCGAGTAACCCATTTTTGCAATTTTAGAACATAATGCCTCGAAAAATTAAAATGCTTTAAGTGCGGTTCAAATGACCTCTATCGTACGTATTTTGGGTTGCCAAAGCCGAATCTGATGTCATTTTACATATATCTAATCCCGTTAAACATGTAGATCTAACTATTTAGCGAAAAATTGCAAAACTATGCGCTTTTGCAACTTTTGGGTGCTAAAAATCCATTTTTCTTATCGATGGCTATCGAAGCTTTGTATAACAAGATAATTTGGGGTTTGGGGCGCTGAATACACGGTGATTCACAAGTCGTGACCAAAAATGGAACGTCATAAACATGACCGCCTTTTAAGGAGCGTCTTCTATGTAACATTTCCATCTTCATTAAAAAGATACGGGTGTTAAATAAAAAACAATTTTTTTAATATCTTCAAAACCGTTAACTCGAATGAACTAAAATTTGGCATTTACCTAAGTATTGTCCACATTCAAAAGTCTTTACTCAAAATTAACGTGCACCAGCGGCGGAGATACAAGGGATTAGTGGCATTATTTTCCCAAATAAAAATAGTACGCCAGTGTTTTTTTTGAAACGCGCAGTTTTTCGAATCTTACTTACCTTCGATTTGCTTTTGTAGCAGCAGCAATTATTTGTAATTACACTTGTTTTTTTCTAGATTCCATTGTTTTCATAAAAATAAAACAAATGAGAATATCAGAGCTTTATTTCAACAAATGACGGCATCTTTTTAATAAAGCAAAAATTTGAGGTAACGAATTATCTATTCTTTCTTGTAACTGATCAACAGTATTAATTTTTTCAGCATACACTAGTTGTTTTAAAGCGCCCCATAAAAAGAAATCCAGGGGGTTCAAATCAGGAGACCTCGCAGGCCTATATACGGGTCCGTTTCTGCCAATCCATCGTTGTCTAAAATGATTATTTAAACATGCGGTTATGTCACGACGAACATTTGGTTGGACACCGTCATGCAGATATCACATTCGTACTTTCGTTGCTAACGGAACATCATCTAACGTTGTGGCAATAAGTGAATAAACAGTTGGCCATTGAAAATGCCGCACCAGACATTTCTAGAAAATCTGTGTTGAAACGAGTGGAATCTTACAGAACGGGGATTTTCTAAAGACCAAATATGTTCATTATGAGAATTAAAGGTTCCACTCCACGTAAAAAGCGATTCATCTGACCACAAAACCAAATCAGTAAAATCTGCCTTTTGATTATGCATTTGCAGTAACCACTCATAAAAGTTTCGCTGTTGCACTTCGTCGCCGGGTTGCAGACATGGCACATTTTGTCTTCCCGATTTAAAATTCTCCACGCAAGGCTTTGAGAATATGGTAACTGGGCTGCAATCCACTTAGTACTTGTACTAGGATCATCCAACGCCAAATTAATCACTTCCAGTTCCTCTTGAACGCATAAAAACCTTTGGAGTAGGTTGGCGTCTAGTTAGAGAATTTTAAGTAAATACTTTTAAATGTAAAAACACTTAGGAAAATCCACGTACCAAATTTTAGTACATTCCAGTTGATGGTTTTAAATTAAGAAAAATTGTTTTTCATTTTTAAACTTCAACACCCCGCATCTTTTTAATGAAGCCCTAGAGGAAATGTTACATAGAAGACTCCCCTTAAAATGCGGTCCTGTGTATGATGTTTCATTTTTGGTCACAACTTGTGAATCACCCTGTATAAGTATCATAGTGAAAAATTCTAGTGGCATCGGACGCGATTTGCGTTGAAAAATTGGTAGTGAATCCCAGAACTGATTTGACATCGAATTCAGAATATTAGCACCAGAAAACAACCTCCCAGAGTTGAAGATTTTTTATTAGTCGTTTTTTGCGACACAAAAAACGTATTATAAGATTCGTTGTGCTCACGCCGGGCAGACTCATTTATTGCAGTATTTCAGATTATAACAAAAGACGTCGGTGATATTATTAAAGTAGATAGAACATAGTACCTTCATCCATACAGAAAAAACGGTTTTTAGAAAAATGTTATATAGCACCTTCATCCACTCGTGTCTTCAATTGCAGCGTAGCCCTTGTCGTAGTATATTTGTTGCATTTCATGGTGCTAGTGTTTTCAAACCTTATATATTCCGATTAATACAATCCCATACTGAAAATATATAGGAATTGATACTTGCATAATTGCTGGCAGAAGGTATAAAAGGGTACAAAAAATAAAACTATAGGTTTTAAACACAGTATTTTATTTATGAAAACTTTCCAAAACGTCGAATTCATGGAAAATATAATATTTGTTGCCGGTACTTTGAAAATATTCCAATGGACTTCTTGCAAACATTCACTGTGGATTTTCAACATTTCAGAACTAAAAATCTCGGATTTACTAAAAAATCCATTAAATGCTCTTATGTTATCAACAATCATTTTACAGAAAATCTTAAATATTAAAATTCATTCTTCAAATCTGCTTGCTTTTCAAACTGTATTTTATTCCATATGTACAAACATGCATTCTCCTCATACCAGTTATAAAATGTGATTATAAAAATAACAGAATTCTTACAGATAACAATAATTATACATTTATAAATATTAACTTCACATCAATTCCTGTAAACAGGAACATATTTCAATATTAGGTACATTTTGGAAATGTCGATTTGAAGGATGCTCTACAAGGGCACAATATTCATTTCATTTTCGAAATCCAGTGCAAAATTTATGAAAAATACTAGTAGGAGAAAGAAGATAACTTTCATATTTATTTTCAAAACATACAAATACGATATTCGTTTAAATGGTAACATCGTAGTATCTAATAAACTTGAAAATCATTACTACCTCTCAGAAGTATTATTCTACTAGAAATATCTGACCAAACACTATTCATCTGCAATTAGTATAAAGCAACATTTCTTGGAGGAACACGTTATTGTTACGTCATCACAAGAGCTATCACAAAAACTCTCGTATCAGCATTAATCTAATCATATTAGTTTTCCCTAAATAATTGTAAAGTCTGGTTTCATTGGTGCAAGTTGTTCAAGGGGACATTTAAAACATGGATATATAAAATGGGTACACCAATTTTTGTGGGAAAACTTTTTATTTGAAAACAAAGAATGAGAAAACGTGTTCTTTGGGATTCAATTGAAAGTATTCACAGGAACGAAAAAACTTTTCATATAAGATTTTTAGGTATTTATGAGACCACACGTAAAAAGATCCGCCTAATAGCAAAAATGTTATGACCGAATGCAGGTATTGGCACGCAACTGCTTGAAATTCTTAAAGTCCATAGGATTCATAGTTCTAAATAACAACAACAAAATTGGAGTATATTGGTTAAGTAGTTTTTTGAGAATTTTTAATTGTTTATCCCAAAACACCTGTTTCACTACTAGTTTATTGAGCACTATACAGGGTTCGTTGAAATAGTATTTAATAGCAAAATACACGTGTTTACTTTGCCGATATGAATCATAAACCATTTCGAAAGATAAATATTACATTTTTGCGAAAAACGAAGGCCACGTTTTTTTCTTCTAAACAGATTCAAACATTTCGTATTTGTGACTAATTGAACAAATGCGCTACGATATTCGAAAATCATATATTACTGAACACATTTTAAAACAAAGCGGATGTATCTATCATGTTTTGCTGCGAATTACTCAAAAATACAAAATGTTTGAATTTGTTTAGAAGAAAAAACGTAACCCATCCTTTTTTGCATAAAAATAACATTCATCTTCCGGAATGGTTTGCGATTCATATCGGCAAGGTAAACTAGTGTATTTTGCTATAAAATGCCCTTTGAACTAACCCTGTACATTGTTCAATAAGCTAGTAGTGATGGCCGGAAAACAGGTGTTTTGGCATAAGCAATTAGAAATTCTCAAAAACTACTGGACCAATCTACTCCAATTTTGTTGTGGTTATTTAGAAGTACGAATTTGAAGAATTTCAAATATCTGCGAGAAACCATCGCCGCATTACCAACAATTGCATTTTGCTTTGTTTTTTGGCCATAACATTTGTGTTATTAGTCGGTCTCATCTTGTAGGTCCCATAAATACCTAAAAATCTTATTTGAAGAGTTTTTTCGTTCCTGCCAACACCTTCAATTGAATCCCAAAAAACACGTTTTCTCATTATTTGTTGTCGATTAAAAAGTTTTCCCACAAAAATTAGTGTATCCATTTTATGCGTCCATGTTTTGAATACCGCCTTGAACAACTTGCAGCAATAAAACCAGACTTTTCAATTATTTCGCAAACCAGGGGTATTTTCGTCTAATTCGAAAGTACAACATAATTTTGCCTACCATCTCGACCAAAAAAATACTTTTTAGAAATAGTGAAGTGTATTATTGCCAGCATCAATTTGGGTAGTGTTTTATGTCGATAAGTGTCTTTTTTAACGTCTATGTCCGTAGCAATTTAACTTACATATCCTAATTTATCCACAAGGTTCGGCATTCATAAGAAACCAATCGTAGATAACACCATTTCACCTTTATTGAGGCTCATCAGTACGATCTAGGCTTCAGATAAATTTATTGAGTCACGCATTAGTACCGATATGGCAACGAATAATATATCGATAGCTGTCCAAATATCAAGACATACGTTTGGCTTGATAGATAGCGTACATACTCGTACCTTGATATTTCACCACTACTGATATCTTCTCTTTTTGTCTACGAACGAACTGCATTCGGACCACAGGTAGATAACGATAGGAGCTGTGCATAAATACAAGCTAAAATCATCTCTTTGTTCACGCTTGTAAAAAAACAGATTAATTCATTTGCTTCTTCAGGAAATGAAGATTAGCTCTTATCCTTGCGTAAAGAGTTTCACAATTTGAACCACATACAAGTGGAATTTCACTAAAAACAAGGTAAATTATAATGGGTGATTTTTTTGCATGTATGTTTTTGACAGGTGACGCGTGAATCGTGTCTTGTGTCATTGTCAAACTTGTTCAGTTTGGTCTATAATTTAACCATGAATCGACTTACGAACGATCAACGCTTGCAAATTATTGAATTTTACTATCAAAATTCATGCTCGGTTAAGAGAGTGCATCGAGCACTGCTTCCAATTTATGGGCAATTTGGTCGGCCTACTGAGGGAGCTATTCGGAAGCTTGTGACTAAATTTCGAACCCAGTTTACATTATTGGACATTAAACCACCAACACGCAGACGTAGAGTGAGGACTGAAGAAAATATTGCGGCTGTATCCGCCAGTGTTAGTGATGACCGTGAAATGTCGATTCGCCACCGTTCGCAGCAATTGGGCCTCTGTTACTCCACTACGTGGAAAATTTTGCGACAGGATTTGGGTGTAAAACCTTATAAGATACAGCTGGTGCAAGAATTGAAGCCACACGACCTCCCACAACGTTTCCAATTTGGTGAATGGGCGCTGGCAAAGCTGGAGGAAGATCCACATTGTTATCGAAAAATTATGTTCAGCGACGAAGCTCATTTCTGGTTGAATGGGTACGTTAACAAGTAAAATTGCCGCATCTGGGGTGAAGACCAGCCAGAAGCATTGCAAGAGCTACCAATGCATCCCGAAAAAATCACTGTTTGGTGTGGATTATGGGCCGGTGGCATCATCGGGCCGTACTTCTTCAAAGACGACAATGGCCGGAACGTAACTGTGAATGGCGAGCGCTACCGTGCGATGATAACAAACTGCCCAAAATGGAAGAGCTGGACTTGGCTGACATGTGGTTTCAACAAGACGGTGCCACATGCTACACCGCACACGAAACAATGGCCCTATTGAGAGGCAAGTTCGGTGAACAGTTTATCTCGCGTTTGGGGCCCGTCAATTGGCCGCCTAGATCGTGTGATTTAACGCCGTTGGACTATTTCTTGTGGGCCATGTTAAGGCTAATGTCTACAGGGATAAGCCAGCAACGATTGACGCACTGGAAGCCCATATTGAAGCATTTATTCATGAGATACCGGCCGATATGGTGGAGAGAGTGTGCCAAAATTGGACCTTGCGCATAGGCCATCTAAAGCGGAGCCGCGGCCAACATTTACATGAAATAATCTTTAAACATTAAATTATATCGACCGTTCTATCGACTCAAATAAAGATTTAATCGTCTTTTCAAATTTTTTGTGTTTTTTTTTTGAAAATCAAATCGTATACCTCTCAAAAAATCACCCGTTATAAGCCTTATATAAATATACGTTGTATTCAAATTCGACATATTGTGCCTATTCTGAATACATCTGGAATAGACCTTTTAGGACATATTGGAGCTTCTTTTTTCAATTTTCTCAAGACTTTAGTCTTGTATCTGAGATTCAATTCAGTGACAATGTGGGAATTTGTAATGTACTCCATATAGAAATGCGAGAAAAATGATTTTACAAATGAAAAATGTTCAGTATTCAATGACGATTTGTCATTAGATATCAGGTACCATGAGTAGAGCAAATACTTTTGCGCGGTAGACATTTCGCACATTCGCTTACAAGATTTACATCTAGAATGTTTATTTATAATATAAAACAAAAACTAATTGTTTCCACAGCTTTATATAAACATTTTATATGTCAGTCTTAAAATTCCCCTGACCGTCACAGCCTTTTAATACATTCCAAAAAAATTCCAACATTGAACTAGGATATAATACCAAATCAAAAACGATAATATACGATAATGGATACTTGGATAGTTTAGCAATAGATGGTATGCATTTTTTTTTTTCAGGAGGTTGAGAATTTAATTTTAAATGCATCATAGACGATATTCCCGTTCTTCAAAACTTACACGGATTTCAGGCGCTTTGCAAGTATGACATTGACATTCCCAAAGCAATACAAATGACGTCAAATTCGCTTAGTGACTTGAAAATGTTAAAAGCTTTTGAAGGTTTTTTTCTGCAGTTTCCGACTGCTAATTTTTTGAACTCTGACTTGCAACTAACCGAGTGAACTTACTGGGGAAATTATAAAAAATCTGAAATATGAAATATTCACTTAAAATTATATCACAGTTCAGTGTTAGCATTGATAAGTTCGACTCAAGATATAAAGAACATTTTATAATATATTCCTATGGCTTCTTCACATGCCGCACCACGCTTAGATTAGTTTCAAGGTCTGTCAAGACAAGGTGTTTAGTTAATATGATAAAAAGGATCAAAATAAATATTAGTCTATTATGAAACATAACCTAATAACGAGAACGGGGATAGCTTTGGTAATTGCTTTTATTTCGAGATAATGTGAATATTGATATATAGTCGAAATCACGAAAGATGACGATTACGTCATCATTTTAGTCTGTAGTAAAGACAAACGACAGCGAATTGTGAATATTTTTAATAAAGTTTCAGATATGTTAGACAGAGATAAACAGAATTTTACTGTCTAAACAGACTGTATTGCTAATTTGCATGTATCCGACAAAGAAAGACGATGTTTTCATGTTGCATGATCGATCATACTTGAAAGATGAATAGTTAGGTTATGTTAAAGCAGGTTAGGTTATTTTCGAATAATACTTTGGTCTTTGGTGTTCCTGTCTTAAGGTATTCTACTCATAACTGTTTTTTCTCAAAACAAAAACTCCCCACTAAACTTATTATTAAGGTATCACTCAAAACCATGAAATAAAATAAAAATAATCAGTGAAATAACCTAACTTCGCAAAATCATAATACAAATAAATTTGTTGTCATTATGTTCCTGATATCGTGATTTTACAGTACAATTTATGGTATGACGTAATAGTCATCTTTCGTGATTTTGACTGTAATGATCATGTTGTGCCTAGATACTCCTTGGACCATGTCTGAATGAAGTGGTGCGGCATTCAAAAACCATTCGAATCAAAACGATTCTTATATCTTGCGACGCACTCGAACGTCTCGAAATGATCCAACCAGTTCACATACACTTTTCTAATGCCAATTGTTCCCGAACTCACTCTTGTACTTCCCGTTCTGGACTCCGTTTGAAACACCATTTGAGACTCCGTTCGTAACGCCATTCGTCATTTCAATGGCGAAATTCGACGGCAGGAAATTGACGTTTATCGTGACAGGGTGCAGGACGACGTTGTGCATGGTGGGCATCACCTGTTCAAAATCAGAATTATTATAGCTTCCTTGTAATTTATAGGATTTGGGGTCTAAAGAAACACAGTTTCCAGTTATAAAATAGCCGACGTTTTAGCCGCAGAAATAGCAGTTTTGAGACACGTAGCACTTGACAACACGCAAAGCACTCGTGGACTGGCTTCTTCTTCAGGATTCACACGCTCAACTGTACAAAGAATTTTGAATGACATAAATTTCACCCGTACAAGATAAAACTTGTCCATGAGCTTAATGAAGACAGTTTTGATAGAAAGTTGGAGTTTTACGAATTATTGTCCTAAAGTTTAATCAACAATGCAAATCTCATTTCCCGAATCAGTGGATCGGCAGACGAGGAATTATTAGATGTAAGAAGAGACATGTTTTTTATGCATGACAGTGCTCCACCTCACTTTGCGCGTGCTGTAAGAAATCACTTGAACGAGAAATTTGACGGTATTTTGATAGCTATTCAATGGTCACCTCGTTCTCTGGATCTTAATCCTTGCGATTTTTTTATATGAGGTATACGAGGTTGAGACAGACAACGCTAATCAACTATGGGACAGGATTCAAAATGCTGCGAAAACATTAAAAAAATTACATCTTAGAGAAAGCTAACGATAATTTTGTAATGTTAGCTTTCTATTGTTGTACTGTTATTCTGCAGGAATGCCTTTTGTGAAAAATGTGCACTATTAAATTGCAACAAGTAGTATCATACTTATTTACTTTCGCTAACTACACTTAAAGAATTAATAAGACGCCTGGAAACCTCTTGATGCAACTCATTTTTTTTCTCTCGAAAAGTCAAAAAACAAAGTAAATAAGAATCAGAGCCGTCGGGAAATTTGCAAAAAATTCTGCTATAATTTAAGCACGGGTGGGGTAGTTTTCACCCTTCGCGAACATGGTAGGTTTTTTCGTAAGAATAAAATATTAGAACGTCCAGCAAAACGTGTGTTCCAAATTTCATTAAAATCGTCAAACTCTGACGCCCTCTAGCGGTCAAACGAAGCATATTTGCATAGTGGTAAATCACGACCAATCGAGTTATTTTGAATCTAAGAATACGTGGTACTTCTATGTCCACGGAATATTGGGACACCCTGTATGTACAGTAACGGACAAAACTTTGGAAACATTCTTAGTAATTTTTAAACAGTGGATTATTTTTTTCTTCTTTATTATTAAGGACTTTTTTTTCTCATATAGTTTGCTCAGTCTTGAGGATGCAAATGACAATTTGAGTTTGCTGTGGTACTACAGAATCGCATTAAAATACCTTCATATTATTTTATGACCAAAAATGAGACGACAAAAGTATGGAAACATATTTTAATTACAAAATCAAATACAATAACTCTACAAAAAGATTTAAAAAATACTATTTAGCTAATATTTGGTAGCATACATTTGTTACAGACAAATATTTCGCCAAATATTTTTTACATAATCAAATAAATCGTTACTATATTTTAAAGTTTTTCTTGTCAGTTGTCTTTTAACATGCTCCCAGAGATGTTCTATAGGGTTTAGGTTCGGGGATTGCGAAGGCCATGTAAGAACATTAACATTTTTTAGTGTTAACCAGTCCTTCACGAATTTTGAGGTATGCTTGGGGTCATTATCTTGCTGGTATGTCCATCGTAAAGGCATTTCTTCTTCAGCAAAAATGAGCACGTGCTCACTAAGAATATATTTGTAAAGTTTTTGATATATTTTCCCAACACTTTTAACAACTGGACCCGTTCCAGAACTAAAAAAACAGCCCCAAACCATGATGTTGCCTCCACCGTGTTCAAATGTTGGCAACTGATACTTTTTGTCCAATCTTTTTCGTATTGGACATCTCACATATGCCGTACCGTCAGATCCAAACAAGTTAAATTTGCTTTCATCGCTCCATAAAACTGTTTTCATTGTTGTTCTGTCCAAGTTAGATGAGTTTTAGCAATTTCAAGCAGAGCAAAACAATTTTTTTTTTAAAAGAGAGACTGCCTACCAACGCATACCAAAAAGCCTAAAATTCACCAAGCGTCTCTGCACTGTTCTGACAGAAAGATTCTCGGCACCCTCTTCTACGATTCTTTTGAAAATTTGTGTGGCTGACATTCGATGATCTTCATGGGACAAAGGTTAATGTAGCGATCCAAAACATAATCGTTTTTTTCTTTTCGGTCTTCCGCACCTGGGCCGCGTTGCTGTTGATCAGTATTCTTGATATTTACTAATAATTTTCTAAATCGTCCCTTTGTTCATTTTTAATCTTTGAGAAATGTCAACATTTCTGACACCACTTCTAAATAATTCAGTTACTCTGTCTCTTAAATCTTTTGAAAATTCTTTTACTTTTGCCATTCTCACTGATATTAATATTTACCGCACGCAATATCAGAGTATCGCAGAACAAATAAATACGGCAAAACTGAAATGTTTCCATACTTTTGTCGTTGCAAAAACTGTGGTATTTGAAAAACACGCGTATTTTTATTTTCACAGAATTTGAATAATGATAAGATAAACCTTGTATTAGTACGGGAGCCAAAGGTAGACTTTAATATTTATATTATCTGTTCCGTCACAATTTAGGTATACGAAATAGTTCATAATAATGTTAATATTTGTTTCCAAACTTTTGTCCGCTACTGTTTCCAAGTCCTCAACTGAAGTGTTTCGAAGTTGTTCATATTCATAAATCTTGATTTTTGTGTTTCTGATTTTTTTAAACTAACCTTGAAAGTATTTTTGTTTTTTGATCTCAGTTTTTTGGTAATATTTCAAGGCCCAAAATAAATTGTCGACAAAAAACTCACCTCGAGAATATCGAAATTCTGCAAGAAGGGCAACAGCGTCTTATAATCAATAGTAAGTGGCACGTAGTATGACCCCTTCGCGTGCAGTACGAAGATGGGCACGTTGAAGTTGTGCTTCAGCGAGGGGTTCTTGATATTCGGCGAGTACCTTTGGGCATGGTCGTTGCGTGCCGCCGGCTCGATCTTCAGCTGGTTGTTCGAGAGGGTGCTGTCAGAAGGCGACCGTCGATGCGTGGTTGTTGTAGCTGTGGTGGTGTTGTCGCTGTCCGAGATGCGGGTGTACGGTTCGCTGCTGGGCGGGGAACTGTGGCTTGAGCTGGAACGAATCAAGGAAATTGGAATACATCCACATTTTTTCCGCCTTTATTGACCTTTATAGACAAAAAAATTACGATAACAAAAATACAATACCAGTGGCGAAGTCTATAGTCGAAACCACGAAAGATGACGATTACGTCATCATTTTAGTCTGTAGTAAAGACAAACGACAGCGATTTGTAAATATTTTTAATGAAGTTTCTGATATGTTAGACAGAAACAAACAGAATTTTATGGTCTAAACAAACTGTATTGCTAATTTGCATGTATCCGACAAGGGTAGACGATGTTTTCATGTTGCATGATCGATCATATTTGAAAGATGAATAGTTAGGTTATGTTAAAGTAGGTTAGGTTATTTTAGAATAATACTTAGTCTTTGGTGTTCCTGTCTTAAGGTGTTCTACTCATAACTGTTTTTTTCAAAACAAAAACTCACCACAAAAATTATTATCAAGGTAACACTCAAAACCATGAAATAAAATAAAAATGTGAAATAACCTAACTTCGCAAAATCATAATATATAAATTTGTTGTCATTATGTTCCTGACATCGTGATGAAAAAACAAAATTTGCATCTCTAAGAATTTCCATTGTCCATGGAATATTCCTTTAATTTTCCTTTACATATCTTTAAATTACAAGTAGACTTTATATCATTATTTAGTTTATTAAAATCAAGTAATCCTTTCTAAAATGTTAATTTGTTAGTTATATTACTATTGCAATTTTGTAAATGAAAATCTATATTTCCTCTTGAATAATTATTGTGGTAATGATTATTCCATTCTATCTAGTGTTCTAAATGTTCTGGCAAAAGACGATTTTTTTATTTTAAATATAAAAATAAGAACCAAATATGATATGAAATTTTTTATATTTAACCACTGCAATTCTTGTAACAGATTTTATTTTGGTGTACTTATTTTTATTCAATATTATTCTCATAGCTTCATTTTGCAAGACTTGTAATTTTGAGAACACAGCTTCATTGGCAGTGAACAAGATAGTTGAACAATATAGTAAAAGCGGTAGAATAATTGTATAATAAGTTATTTTCTTGGACTAGGTACCAAGACTATGAGAAGCCCTATAAAAGTAATTTGTTTTTTTGGCAATTTTTGAAATAACATAGTGATCCTCAAACTTTAGTTTACTTTCAATATGTATAGCTAAATATTTAATTGATTAAACATTTTCAATTATTTCTCCATTTATCCTAACTGTGATAGTATTTTCATTTAGATATTTCCCTATTAGCATACATTTAACCAATTTAAGATTTTTGCCAAGGTTGAAATTAGCATTTTTAAAGCATGAAGTTTTTCAAAATTATTTGAGCAACGCAGGCATTCGCAAAAAGAACATGTAAGTAATATTTATGCTTTTAACTTCTTACTACCATACAGTTTGTACCACGACAGGAGCAGTGAATTTTAAGGTAAGAAGAAATCTAATCATTTTTGATATCCACCCATAACTATCTATAAACAATAATAAAGAAATAACAAAGAACTAAATTTAAAGAATACTATCAATGATCCTACTGCATAACAAACAAGTAACGTTTTAATTTGAGTTTGAACTCGTCCATGTTTAAAAGCTTGAATTATTGTGGAAGCTGATTATATATCCTGATCGCATTATACAGGGTGTTCGAAAATAGACAGAGATATTTATATTATGTGACGAATAAAGGCCATTTATTATTATTATTATTATATTTTAGAGGGTTAAAAAATATGAAAAAAAACATGGGTCCGGGAATGCAGTTTTCAAGATAGAGGGTGAAATTAAAAAAAATTAATATCTTTAAAAAAATTAGTCGATTCTGTTGAAATTTGGCAATATTATTTACTGTATTACGAGGCTAATTTAGCTCTATATAAATTTATAAATAAATTAACCAGCAGTGAGCTAACGGCTCTTCCTTTCTTTCTAATATCCCTACCTTTGATTTTCAATGCTGTTAATAGAGTTTCTTCTTTCGTCATTTAGCTTCTGTCGTTTATTGGACTCCGGCGTTGATCCGTTGATGTCTTGCGTAAACCTCAGTTTGATATTCGTTTTATATTTATACGAGTTTCCGTTGGACTCTTGATGCTTTTCATAGTCCGGGTCTATGGATGACTGGTTACTAGATCTAATTACGTACGTTCCTCCTGTGGAAATAGATTTGTTTTAGTATTTTGAGAATAATTAGAGCTACGAGATACTATGCTAGATAAATAGAACATTTTGGATTACTAGTCTTGTAACCGGGACGCAACTTTATTGGAAGTTGTAAATTTGGTTAAAAACTATAACAATGAAGGCTCAAAGGGTAATAAGGAGTGTATTTTACAAGTGATCCCCAAAAATGTATTAAAATGAGCAGGTCGGTGGCTATGATCAAAATGAATCATTCGGAAATGCAGACTACCCATTATATTTAGAACGTGGTGTTGATTGACGATACACTTTGCTATAAACAAACTATTGGTTCGGCTTCAATTTAATGAAGGTGGTATGTACATGGTGGCCAGCATTTCGAGCACTTACTGGGGAATTTGAAACCTATCTTCTTTAAATCGGTCCTTTTTAAGGCCACAACTTAATAATAATAAAAAGAAATTCCAGAAAAATTAGTTTTAAAAAATAAAAATATAAGCGATTTCCGTATACATTTTTTTGGGCTAAATTTTAGGTTAGGTACAAGATATCGAGATGCGGATTCCGCGAGCTTGTTTAGACATCATTTAGCTACTTTTTCATAAAAAATCATACCAATGCATTTAATTTTTTTGGGGAAGTTAACCATTGGCGTACCATTTTTTTCTTAAAAAATATCTTAGTCAATACCCGTACGCACGCCACTGTTAAAGCTAAAAATTATTTTTGCAATGAAAAATATGAAAATTTATTCACTTTCACTACGTACTAAATACCAGTGAATTATCTGAAGCGGTTCTGAAAATATTAATTAATTTCCATTTTTTCCGAGTTTTTGTAAGGAAACACTTTTGGACCATAGTTTATAAAGCAAACTAACATCAATTTTTCATGTAGATTCACACCCTTAAATATTCGCATATCATAAAGGAAGACCCTATAAGTACTAAACATATTCTGACTGGTATCTCTTATATAAATGAAGACTTGAAACTTGTTTCAAAATGATTAGCATCTAACAGACTCAAATTAAATACAAGTAAAACGAAACCTATGTTAATCGAAAAACAAAACAATATACAAATTTTCAACTAAATATTGATGGTTCATAGAAAAATTTAAATATCTTGGATTTTTTATTGACTCTAGATTAATATTTGATATTCATTATAAAAAAGTTATAAACAAGATTAGTAGTAAAGTGGGATATTTATCAAGAGTTTCTGGATTTCTGAGTTCATCACTCACCATTAGTATTGTTATTCTGCTCCGACTCCTGTTTGTGCACTGGGTAGTCTTTGCTCTGCTGCCCGGTGGTTCTTCCCTGCGTGGGAGGTGGTTCCGCAGCATTAGGCGTCGGTACCACGTGCTCCGCCGGTACCACAGGATGCGTCCTTGAATTGTGAGAGGCGGGGAATGGGGTACTGCGCGAGATGGACTCACAGTGTTTCTGCAGATGGTTCAGAAGGCGGACGCATACTGCTTCTCGGGGAAAGTGGCCTTCTACTTCGACCATGAAGCGCATTGCTTCTGACATGCATTCTTGGTAGCCGAGACTGGAATAAAAATTGAATATATTCCAAAAAGCATCGTTGGCTTGTGTGTCACGAATTTAAATGTGAGATTCGCCTATGGTCGACTATCAAAAGGAAAGAAAAAATAGTTCAGTTCACTGTGATGTACATGCTAATAGTAATTACACAATGTGGTGATAATTTCCCGTAATTCTCCTAAAAGTTTTTGAAAACACAAAAAAAAGTAAAAAATGGTAATTTATAACTTTAAACATAACCTGTCTTCAGAAAGGACAACATATTAATAACCCGTCGGGCACAGCTGATAGATATACTTTATTGGCACCATATTCAGTAATGATTTTCTCACACAGCAAATATAACTGATTTTATACACATGCAGACAGACCAGTACACACAATCATCTAGATGCGACTACTCGGCTTCTCAAAAGATATGCAACCGACACCGCGTATAGTTGAGCTATTCCTCCATAGATGGACGCTCACAACGATCCTAGTGAGCAACCGTTTGCACCATAAAACCTACATTGCTTGCAAGATGACATTTTATAGGTTTTTTTGAAGTTTTACAGATTTTTTACATAATACCCGTGCGGCTCTAAATTGCCCCCCCTTCAACTTTTTTATATGTCCTGACAGAAAAAAGTTTTATACAAAAGTTATGGGGTCTAATATGAAGTTTTTCATGCAATTCTATGTATTCTTTCAAATGGAACACCCTATATCTTTTAGGGAAAAGGTTCCAGGTTCCAAATATACAGGGTGTCCGCAAAGTTAGGGTTTTCCTTTTCAGAAACAACTACCCTTGAAATAACAAAGGTAATGTGTAGTGAAACGAGGGCGACCAAGTAAAAAAAAATAAAGGAAAAAGTACTCACTCTCCAGTTGACGAGAAGGGCTAAGTACGTCTCTGCCCGAAATCATACCGCTCCAACAGAAAATGAAAACAGCTGATGCGCTACCGAGCAGGCGCAGGCAAACAAGGAAGGCAAAATGTTGCGTAAAAAGGCTAGGTATTGCATCCCGTCCAATCGATTTGGGAGAATAAATGGTCCAATGAGCATACCGTTCACCATGCCAGCCCAAACATTCACCGAAAATGTTTGTTGAAAATGTGCCCGACGGACAGCGTGCGGATTTTCTACTGACCAAACATGAGCATTGCGAAAGTTATTCACCCCATTTCGCGTGAACGTAGATTCGTCTGTCACCAATATGCACTTCAAAAAGTCCGGATTATTGTCATGTTGATGCGCAACAACCACTCACAAAACCGCACTCTTGCTGGAAAATCGTCGTTGAAGGGCTTGTACACGTCGGAGGTGAAACCGATACAGCCCCTCTTCACTCAGCGTTTGCCACAATTTAGTTTTTGATCCTTGCACTTCTCTAGCCACGTCTCTAGTGCTTGTTGAGGGATTCTCGTCTACGCGATTACCTCTACACGCGTGACCGTAACCGTCGGTTGAAGGTTGCATACTGACCTGACACACTGACCCCGACCCAGTTCTGTCGTCGGGTTGAGCTAGTGTCATGGTACCACTCGGGGATGTCGCGGCTACAGGACGGTATTCAGATATTTTTGATGTTGCAGAGCCCTTTATCTCGGTTCCCTTAAGACATTGATGTATATGGTACTAAGAAAAATTGCTTATGTTTTCAAGATCTACACGTCGTGTAAAGGAAAACCCCAACTTTGCGGACACCCTGTATATGTGGTTTGTTAAACTTATTTTTATTTCTTTTGTCAAAAATTTGAAGTTTGTGTGTTATCCAATCATATGTATTCCGCAGAGCTATTACATATAAAACGCAAAAAAACGACAAAATGTCAACTTGCTGCCTAGAGCTGTGAGCGTCATCAAAGGCGTCCATCTATGGAGGAACGACTCAACGACACGACATGCTCAATGACCATGCTGCAAGATGCAAGTCAGTTCCCCATCTCATGCGTTGTTGGTTGCAGAACGCTGAAATAATCTGTAGAGTACACTCTGAGATGTGGGGTTCAGTAACAGAGTAGCATGATCACATCTGGATGATTATTGTGTGTATTGGTCTGCATGTGTATAAAACCAGTAATATGTTGCTATGTGAGAAAATTATTGAATTTGCTGTCCATGAAATATATCTATTAGTTGTGCAAGACGGGTTATTTGCGTTGGGCCTTCTGAAAAGAGGTTATGTTCAAAGTTGTACATAACAAGTTTTTTTTTGCGTTTTCAAAAACTTTGAGAAGCATTACATGGAATCAGTACCGCATGCGCGTTGTGTGCAATTAAGTCACATCATAGAAAAATTAGGAATGAAAGAAGAAATTTTTATAAAATTTAAAGGAATGGAAATGAAGTTTGTGTATCATTCTGTTCTAGGTATGTTGGATGGAATCAATAACACAGATCAACAAAAAAGTGGTGTGTGCTGAGAGTGCCACTATATTTGTCCATATATTTTCCCCACTGAACCCAAATCCGGTACCAGAATTGGGGATCGATGGACACACTTTTTTTTCAGTAATCACGTCCTCGCAACTGTTTCACGATAAAACATAAATGGTGAATGCGCATCGTGTATCAAAGACGCACATTCACCATAATCTATATTCTTAATGTCCAAGTTACTTTAATATTTGTCCATCAATTCTGACACCAGATTCCTGTTCAGCGGGAAAAATTCATGGGAAAAAGATTAATAATACCAAATTTTTAGAAATTAGCATTGTGAATTAAAATTTTTACATTGTAAAAGCTACCTCTCTACCAAATTTCCGGTTAAAGAACCCACTTTTAGTTTTAATCTACGCTAAACATAACCTCATAGTTGCCATTTTTTATTCCAAGCAATTTCAAAGAAAATTACAAGTGCCCTTTAATCCCTTAATCCGACCCTGCCACAAAATCCGTTCTTAACTGGCATGTCCTGTTGAAAAGCTACCTCCCTGCCAAAATTCGTGTTTGAAGGCCAAATCGTATCCAAGATTTCGTGATTAATGTGTATCTTTTCGATTATATACAGGGTGATTCACAAGTCATGACCAAAAATTTAACATCATACACAGGACCGCATTTTAAGGGGTGTCTTCTCTGCAACACTTTTTCCTCGAGGGGTTCATTAACAAGATTCGGGGTGTTGAAGTTTAAAAATAAAAAACAATTTTTCTAATATTTTCAAAACCGTCAACTGGAATGAAATAAAATTTGGTATATGGATTTACCTAAGTTGCCCACATTCAAAAGTCTTTGCTTAAGGTGCACCAGTGGCGGAGATACAGGGGATTAGTGGCATTATTTTTCCAAATAAGAATAGTATGTCACTGTTTTTTTTTTCGAATCGCGCAATTTTTCGAATTTTTCCTTCAATTTGCTTTTTCCTAGAGCGCATTGTTTTCGTAAAAATAAAAAAAAAATAAATTAGATAATCAAAGCTTTATTTCAATAAATGTTCAAAAATATCACCATTCTAACGGATACAAGTGCGGCATGTTTTAATAAAGGAAAAAATATATTTCCGCAAAATTTGTTGTGGCTTTCTTGTAACTGATCAACAGTATTAATTTATGCAGCATAAACTAGTTGTTCAAAACCGCCCCATAAAAAGAAATCCAGGAGGTTCAAATCGGGAGACCTCGCAGGCGGTCATGTCAAGAAACGTCAAGTTGGTATCAAGGCCGCCTAACTAATTGTATCTCGGCTCTTCATGAATGAACTAATTTGTTTTATTTCTATTATCACGAAAACAGTGCACTCTAGGAATATTTGTAGCAAATTGAATTTAAAATTCGAAAAATAGCGCGTTTCGAAAAAAAAACAGTGGCGTACTATGTTTTTTAATAATAATGTCACTAATCCCCTGTATCTCCACCACTGGTGCACGTTAATTTTAAGTAAAGACTTTTGAATGTGGACAATACTTAGTTAAATTCACATACCAAATTTTAGTTCATTACAGTTAACGGTTTTGAAGATACTAAGAAAATTGTTTTTTATTTCTAAACTACAACACCCCGTATCTTTTTAATGATGCTCTCGAGGAATAAATGTTACATCGAAGACCCCCCTTAAAATGCGGTCCTGTGTATGATGTTTCGTTTTTGGCCACGACTTGTGAATCGCCCTGTATATATTTGCCCTAAGCTCCCTTAATGCCCTGTACATAAACTTCCTCTCTACCAAATTTCATGTTCATAGGTCAAATAGTTTTCTCTCTTTACTATATACTTTGAAAAGGTTAGTGTCTCATAGATGGCGTTGCATCCACCTTTACGCTTGTTGATATACATAAAGACAGCGCCATCTATGAGATACTAACCTTTTCAAACTATATATGAATAGGGAAACAGCTGTGTCAAATCCTCATATATGATGCTGCGGTATCTCATTTTATCCCCGAAAATGTTTTGTACGTCGAGATACAGCATTAGGTTGGCTGCAGGTATAATACGTTAGTCAATGCTAATACTGACCGATAATGTTCCGTTGGGTTTCCGTGTTCCTGTTGGAGATATTTCATATGCTTGATGGCCATTTCTATTATTTCTGTCTTCTCTATCCGTCCTCTGCCTTTCTTTAGATATTCAGTCGGTATCAAACGTGACAGATCCGCCAAACAGTTGTTCATGCGATCTCGTCTTCGTTTCTCTATTATGCGGTGCGACATCGGATCTTGCTGAAAATAAAAATGAATATAAATAGCGATGCCCATAGCCGATGCTATGCGAGAAAATTAAAGCAGAACAATTTATACCCTGGGTAGCTAACCACAGCCGCCCACCGAGAGATGGCGCAGCACCAGGCCGTTTTATCTACAAGCTAAGCTAAACTCCTATGACAGTGATCAAGAGTGCTGATCTAAGGCTCGTATCTTCAGTCGTTTCTACAATTGTAGGGCGCCTTTATGGCCTTCTTGAGTGTCATAGTTTTCTACTTTTCCGTGTCAGCGCTCTATTTTGAGGTTATGTCACAAATAACTATTTGCATCAAATTGTGCTTGCTTTTGAGTTATATCATGTATTATCAGCCTGAAATTTCATACAATTTAAAAAGAAAACATCTTCACAACAGGAGAGCGCTGACGCTGACACGGGACAGGTGCAATCTAGAAATTTTTGAAGGAGATAAAGGGGTATGACAATCAAGGAGGCCATAAACGCGACCTACAATTGTAGGAAAGCCTTCATGGCCTCCTTGATTTTCATAGTTTTCCCTGTCCTTCAGAAAGGCGCTCTATTTTGAGGTTATGTAAAAAATATCTATTTGCATCAAATTGTTAATGTTTTTAATTTTTACATCTGCTTAATCAGACCGAATTTTCCTATAACTCAAAAGGAAAACATAACTAGGAGAGAGCTGACGCAGACACGGAACAGCGGAAATCTAGAAATACCCCTGCCCTTCTGAAGGAGAGGAAAGGCTATGAAAATCAAGGAGGCCGTTAGTACAGAGCGAGGTTAATGCTTGCCTAGTACAAGGCCAATGATTAAAAAAAGTTGATGTGGCGTTCTGATCTTGTTCTCCTCAAATCATCAAAGGTTATGGTTTAGAAACATATGTTCGCATCGCGAAGATAATAGTTTACATTTGGGTTATTCGTAATGACACTGGCGTTTAGACTGTTAAAAAATATATCTATCTGACATTTATCTTCTCTCCATATCATCCACATAAGTTATATGTACTTGATAAACAAATATTGGTAATTTAAATTTTCCTTTCAATGCGCCAATTCTGCGAACGCACAATTAGCATTTCTTAACAAACTATCTAGTTCATTTTATGTGCTCAGCATATAAGGCGACAAATAAAAATGCAATAATCTTTCAAACAGCACTTAATCGTGCGATTTTACCAATGGTAAACATGGCACTTTACTGGTACAACACGTGACTCGTTTTATCTGTACACATAACGTTTATCGTTATTTCGCATTTTAATTTCTCTGAATAACGTAGGGAAGTTAATGCTTGGGTGTGCCTTCTGATTTCAATAAATCATTTTTGATACGTTTTGTGCTCATATAACGAGAAACGAAAACCCACAATTCTCAACCATATCATCGGCAGGGCTATTACGTAAAAAACCTATAAAATGTCAAAAAAACTACAAAATGTCAACTTGCCGCCCAGATAGTTCCTAGTGTGAATATATCGGGTTGTCCAATAGGGACGCAGGAAAGTAAACGTCAATTTGACATAGACGCCATCTTTGTTTTCTGTCACCGACATGTCATTTTGTTAGTTGAATGTTTACCATTGATCGCTATGGAGTCGTATTATAATAATAATAATAATAAAATGTCTTTATTAGGCACATTATATACACTACAACATAATGTGACCTCTACGTAGGCGAAGTCTAGCTCTTGGCTACTCTACTTAACCTACCCAAATACTAAATTGAAACACTCAATCAAAGGAAACTTTGACAAGCAAAAGACGCTTCAAAACAACGAGCTTGATAGCTTCCTAGCATACATATATACACACATATATTACGTAAAATAAAATTAAATGTAAGAATTAAAAACTAACTTTTCCACAATTACTACAATGACAAATAAATCTGTTTCACATGCTTACGAAATCTGTTTACTGGCCAATCCTTTATATTGTCATCTAATTCGTTATAAATCAGGATAGCATTGTAAGTGTATGAACTACGAAATAAAGTTGTTTTATACATAGGGATCTCTAGTCTTTTTTTGTGTCTGAAATCAATGTCTGAATTATTTCGTCTGAAAACAAATTTCTCATAAAGATATAAGGGGGATCTAGAAGATATGATCTTATGTGTAAACACTGCTATATGGTACTTGCAAGCATTTTCTATACACATCCAACCAAGCTGAAATCTCTTTAAGGAAACATGATCATACTTCTTGAGATTAAATACAAATCGACAACAAGTATTTTGGAGTTTTTGGAGTCTTGCTTTTGTGATAGAATCAAGACAATGATAGAACACAGTGCTACAGTAAAATAAGCTTGGAAATATAATAGCCTCACATAACTTTTTTCTAACTTTAAAATTCAAAATAGAGCGATTGACATAAAAACACTTCAACGTTGCATAACATTTTTTTAAGATAGACGAAACATGCTCCTTAAACCGTAAAGTATAATCAATAATCAACCCTAAATTTTTTGTAGTATTTACGACAGCTAGACGCTCCTTGTCGATTTTTACATCAAGAGAATTCAATACAGTGTTACGTTTGACAGCAGGACAAAAAAGCATCACTGAGCACTTATCCTTATTGAGCTTAAGATTATTACCATTTGAGTATCCTACTATTGCCTCCAAATCATCATTAAGCTCATTGATTGAGGTATGCAAAGTGTTACTATTAAAGCTTTTATATATCTGTGTATCATCGGCATAGCACATCACAGAAGAGTTTTTCACAGAGCTACCCAAGTCTATAGTATAAATTAAATACAACAAGGGCCCTAAAACTGAACCCTGAGGGACACCTGATGTTATATCAATCGGACTAGATATAGTGTTGTCTATCTCTACTACTTGTTTACGATTTGAAAGATATGTTATTGAAGATTGAAGATGTCGATTGAAGACCGCATTAAAGTTATTCAAGAGCAATACAAAAATGGTGCAAAAATAAAAAACACGTTTCGCGCGCTTCGTGAACATTTCGGTCGCAACTACCGCCCAAACGAAACAACCATCGGTCGTCTGGTGCGTAAATTCGAGGCAACAGGTTCTGTGGCAAATTTGCCAGGCTCTGGCCGGCCAAGGAGCGTTCGCACACCGGAAAATATTGCTGTTGTGAAGGAGAGTGTGAGAGACGATCCGAAACAATCAACAACGCGTCGATCCCAAGAATTGGGCATTTCGAGAACCAGTTTGCTCCGCATTCTCCACAAGGATTTGAATCTACACGCCTACAAGATCCAATTGACGCAAGAGCTGCGTCGGACCGACCATTTTTCGCGCCGAACGTTCTCAGACTGGCTCCTTGAGCACCGCCAAATTGATGCCAATTTTTCATCAAAAATCATGTTCAGCGACGAAGCACATTTCACTTTGAATGGGACGGTAAACAAGCAAGACTGCCGCATCTGGGCGAACGAAAATCCCCGTGAGTATCAAGAGCAGCCGATGCATCCTCAAAAAGTGACTGTGTGGTTTGCATTGTGGTCAAAAGGCATCATCGGACCATACTTTTTCGAAAATGCGGCCGGGGACGCAGTTACCGTCAATTCTGAGCGATATCACGTGATGATAGAGGACTATTTTTTGCCGCAACTTGAAGGAATGGATATGGACGATGTTTATTTCCAACAAGATGGTGCAACATGCCACACAACCAACGTCAATATCCATCGATTGCAGTCCTTCTTCGGTGATCGCGTGATTTCGCACAGAGGAAATGTGCCATGGCCACCAAGATCGTGCGATTTGTCCCCCTTGGACTTCTTTTTATGGGGATATTTGAAAAGCAAAGTCTACGTCAACAAACCAACCACCCTCCAAGAACTCAAAAACAACATTATTGCCGAGATAAATGCCATAGAACCGACCATGTTGCAAAATGTCATTGAAAATTTCGACCATCGCGTGGACGTCTGTAAATCCAGTCGTGGTGAACATTTGAGCGATATTATTTTTCATACATAAATGGTATAAATGAACCTTCAAAATAAAGTACCCAACTTGATTTGAATATCAATCTTTCTTGTTTTAATATGCGTTTACTTTCCTGCGTACGTTTTGGACAACCCCATAGTACATTCCGCGCAGCGTAAGCTCTGAGAAGATGTGTGGTTGAGTAGCAGAGTAGCAAGATCACGTCTGGATGATTTTTGGAAAAAGTTTAGGGTTAAAATATTGGGGGGTGGGGGTAGTAGGGGAATGTGGGAGGTTGAATCGTAATTTTATGTTAGTTTGTTAACAGACTTCCAACCCCCATAATTCTACGCACCTGTTAGACATATTTCACACATCATAGAATGCCACGTACACTTCAAAATAATAAATCTTTTTTTAATAATAATGATTTCTCGCTAATTATATCGAAACAATCATTCAGAATCTTTTTTGAGAGATTCTCACTAGGATTTTTATTAGATTTCAATTCTGAGATAGCTTTTCTTAGATTGTTTATGTTTATTATCCTAAATTGATTCTTTGATGAATTATGATATGCTTGTAATGAACCTAAGTTAGGATCATCGTCATCAATCGTCTTCACTATTTAATTTTTACTGACTTTAAAATAACTGTTCTTTCTTTCTGCTATAATTATTTTTTCTGTCACTACCCCATCTTCGGAACGCATTTTGGAGACACAATATTCTTTAATGTTTTCGATATCATTTTAGAATCAATTTTCTCTATTTATAATTTAACTTCTTTCTCAAATTCTTATAATAAAGAATCTATGGTATGTACTTCGTCAGATCTTTGACCCACTCTGCACAACGAGTCTAGGAGTGTTGAAACTCTTAAATTGATTTTTCTCGAAACTTATTGTGACATTCATCTTTCTTCCCCTGTACCCTTCAATTACTACCTCACGTGTTGTCGTATGGTGCCGTATTTGGCGCAAGATTCGAAAACACGTCGGTCTTTGCCAGATAACCTGTTTGTGCAAGATATTTACGTTTTGGACGGGCGTTTAAAATCACAATTAGAACGTAATAATGCAGCC